GTAGTATTCGACAACACCAGTTGCTTCATCGGGAGCGAGAGCTGCCTTCTCAGCAACTCGTGCTCAAGTGTGTACCAGAGCGACGAAGGTGGCTCCACACGCTCATGCCTCGCGTGGCAGGCATGATTGCACATGGCCAAAGCAACAGCTGAGATAAGTCAGAGCGTTTTGAGATGCTGGCGCAACACGTAGGCAACTTCCATGGCCGTGGGTCTGTCCATAGGGTGCAGCGCAGTGCAATTCCGTCCAAGCGTAACAAACCACTCGGGGCATTGCGAGGTAAACTGGGGTCGCAGCTCACCCGACATCACTTTTGCCATGATCGCAGTGTCCGTCAACGGATTCCCCTTGTCGTTGCGTAGGTCAGAGTAGGGCAAGATTTCCGTGTCGAGCTCGGACAGAATGACGCCGAAACTGAACAGGTCCGTGAGCTCCGTGTAGTGGCCATCCTGTAGGACCTCCGGGGCCATCCAACGATACGTTCCGATGCCTGCCGTCATGGTAGCATCATTCGTCTCCCGGGAAATGCCAAAGTCGGTGAGCTTGGCCCCTTGCACCGAATCGAGCAACACGTTGCGGGACTTCAAGTCGCGATGGATCACCGTCGGGTCCATCGAATGTAAGTACACGAGTCCTTCAGCAATGCGATGGGCAATCTTGACCTTGACCTTCCACGTGATCGATCGATGCTCGGGTGGGGCGTCGTGGGTGCACAGCAACGCGCTTCGAAGGTCTCCACCGTCCATGAACTCGGTGATAAGCATCATATCTGTCGGCCGCGACCACGCCACCCCGATAAACGTGACAACGTATTGGCACTCTATCCTACACGTGGCCTCCCGTCAGCGACAAACTCTCCATGGCCATCATGAGCAACGCAACAGTTGCAGACGAATTGCTCTGGAAATGGATGAGCAATGCAAATGCAGCAAAAGCACCAAGTCCTCGCTATCGAGTCCATTCCCACCACATCAAACAAACGCTTCAGACGAACAAAGCAGCTCAACGCCAATGCAGAGCATGGTGGCTCCGCCATTTTCAGAGACTCGTGGGGTCCCAAGATATGGTGCCAGCAACGCGCGTCGTGAATCAAAATATGGACACAAATTCCTCCAAATATAGCCAGCAACGAACGTCCATCGCACTCGAACAAGACCCGACAGTCATGACCACACCACCACACGACCGATCCGATAGTAGATGCGTACTTGGCAACAAGAGTGATTTCCAGGATGAATTTCTGCAAGTCGGACTTGGTTGCGCGGTTCGCTAGCAACGTCTTGACTGCAACAGACTGGCCGTTGTACTCGGCAAGCCACACTTGGCCAAATGCGCCACTCGCCAGCGTTTTCTCCATGCGAACTTCGTGCACGGGGATTCGATACAGTTCCAACTCGCCTAAGTCGAGTTCGCCGGTGGGCCCTTCACCGAGCGACCCAAAAGTTGACTTAGTGGTGTCGCCTTTATGGGAGCGTTGCTCTGTGCTGCCATCTTCCATATGTACAAAGCAAGCGTTCTTCGGACTGTGCTTTCGTCGAGACCGCATGTACAAAACAGCGGCGATGAGCAGCACAACCAGCACGCCAGCGGTAGCCCCCAAAATGACACCCGCCCGATTTGGAGCGTTGACGGGTGAAGATATCGGCGAGGGATAAGCAGGGGATACATCGGAAGAAGGAGGTAACGACGAAGGTTGAGGAGAGGTTGATGTATCGCCCACGACGCCAGAGTTGTTGATAGCAACGCCCTCGCAAATCGAACTGAGGGAAGCTAGCTCAAGGGGCTTGTTTCCGTTCGCACTATCAGGAAGCGAACACCCAGGAAACGGAACAAACGCGGCCTTGTTGTTTTCCAGCACCGTCTTGCAGATCTTGAGTGGACAATCCACGGCCTTCAAGCGCTTCGAGTCCAGTAGGCCAGCCATAAATTGCTTGGGAAACTCGCAATTCACATACTCGGGACGTTGGAGCAGCGTCGGCGCGTACGATTTGACGTATCCGACGCAATCCATCGGGCCAGCAAGTGCGTCGGCGCTGCCGTCGCCGTCGAGTTGTTGGGAGAGCGCCGCCCTGTGTTGTACAAAAACGTAGTCAACTGTATAAAAAACGAATAGTAAGCATAAAAATGCTTAAAAATATCAATAACATAGTTAAAGCTTAAATTGAAGCTGCATATCATTAGCTCTTTCGTTTACTACACATGTATTTCAAATTGAACATGGGAAATGCTAAAAAGAATGTTGAAAAAACACCAACAATTTTTTTTGTCTCCATGCGAAAAGTGGCGGCTGTGCAAACCGAAGCCGTAATCCCAAAAAAGCGTCCAATATTTCATATATTTCCGACGATTTTTAGCAGCATTTCGGTGAAATTTTTGTAAAAAAACAGACAAACGTTTGTGATTTTTTGTGAATGTCGCCAGAGCGCGGTCGTTCGCAAACCGCATTACACTTGTTCTATCGCATTCGATCCCCTCCGACCGCGCGACGTCGAAGCGATGAACGTCGACCTGTGCTCGACGATGTATAACGGCGTGGCGAAGGCGCTCCTTGGCTCTCCGTACTTCGACCAGTGCTCCTATCACAAAAAGCTCAGTGCTGGCTACGTTGACCTGTATCGCGTTCGAACAATGGATTGCCCCAACCCGATATGCCGATCGTACTTCCCTACCTTTGAGACGTATGCGAACACGGACATTTACGCGGGGTGTACTCTCACGGACGAGTCGACATCGCGGCAGATTTCATTCAAGGAGTTTGCTGTGGTGTGTCAAGGGATCGCATCGTCGTCGTCGTCTCCGTCACCAGCACCAACCGGAGGGTTGCTACCTCCTCCGCTTCCTCCAACACCACCCCTACCGTCCATACAAGCGAGAGACAATGAAAGCAACAACAGCATCACGATTATCGTCGCTGTTACGGCCATTGTCGTTGTCGGTATCCTCGTCGGGGCGTTCGTGTACATGCGCACCAAGCGAAAGGCCCAAGACCCGCCGCATTCCACCGATTTTGTGCACATTGTGGATCCGGCCGTGCATCAAGATCCTCCGACGTCCAAAGTTGTGCGATCGACACAACCCAACACCAACCATTCCACTGCACCCACGGCGACGACGACTGCAGGCACGACGGCGACTCGTCTCGACTCCTCCGTGACCCACTCCACCAACGCGTCTTCCTTTCAATCCGTTGGAGGGCAGTTGGACATGTGCGACCTTGACATGTACCGACTGCCAACGGCCGACGTCCGACTGGTCAAGGCGCTGGCGCAAGGCGCGTTCGGTGAAGTGTGGGTGGGGGAATACCACGGGGGTAAAATCGCCGTCAAGCGCCTCTTGCCCAACAAGTCGGCCCTGCCCGACGTGCAAAAGTTTATTTGGGAGATCAAGTTGCTGTCCAAGTACGTAATATGCACACTGCGTTGCTCATGAAGGCCCAAGCCAGTGTATCGACCTGAATCGGACGTGTGTAGAATCGACTGCCAGTTCGTCGTGCAGTTCATCGGCGTCGCGTGGAATGTTCCGGGGGACATGATGCTCCTCACCGAGTTCATGGACGGCGGCGACTTGCGCAGCGTGCTGGACGCGAACAAGTCGAGTCGTTCGTTCACATGGATTCAAAAGCTCAAGGTCGCGCTCCAGGTTGCGGAAGGTCTGGTCTATCTACACTTGATGGACCCGAAAGTAATTCACCGGGATTTAAAGTCGCGCAACGTCTTGCTTGATTCAACCAAAGGCGCCAAGATCACGGACTTTGGGATTGCGCGCGAGACTGACGACTCCACCATGACCGCTGGCATCGGCACGTTTCGATGGATCGCGCCCGAGGTGCTCCAGGATGGCCACTACACCGAGGCGGCCGACATGTTTAGCTTTGGCGTCATCTTGGCCGAGCTCAGCACTGAAATCATCCCGTACTCGGACCTACGCAACGACAAGGGAAACGTGTACACCGACACGGCGATCATGGCCAAGGTGATGGCGGGCGAGCTCCGGCCGAGCTTTGCGACGGATGCTCCAATGTGGTACTTGACGCTCGCGAACGAGTGCCTGGCTGTCGACCCCGACATTCGACCCACGGCCATGCAAGTCGCGTATGGCATTCGAAGTCAGTTGGAAGGATTTGTATGAAAAGATCGTTTGTTCTGACCGAGGAGTTGGCCCTGTCGCCCATGCACGAGCTGTGCAAGTGCGCTCTCTCATTTTTGTGGGACTCATCGAATCGATGCAAGACGTGTCGATATCGAGCTCAACCTTCATGCGCTCCTTCTTTCACGTTTCGAGCATCCTTGCACATGGGTGCAGGGCTTGGCAATGCCCCAAGAAGAAGCCGTGAGCGTTATCTTCACCACAACACCCATCGTTCGAGATGCGTTTGTGTTTCTTGCGGGCGTGCGCATCTCGAACGACTCTGCCGTCGACGGTGGTAAACAGCAAGGCCATTCACATGGTTTGCGAGATGCCATGCCACGAAGCGTTCAGCACCAGCCTTGAGCTGGGACGATGTAGGACGGCAAAGTACTGCGAGCGCTGTCTGGTCGTACCCACTCCAGCGCAACTACAAGGTTCAATCTGCCCACCTCGCAGAAAAAGAGCCACGTGCCCGATCGATTCAAGCCGAGTCTGTCGACAGTGTTACTGGGCACCCCTCCAGCACATGCCAGTCTGCAATTCGTATACTAGCTTCATCGACTCGTCATGCTCGTGCTTACCGTCCTGACAGCGGTGGCTTCAGCCATGTCGACTAGCCACTGCTCGTACTCGGCCGTCGACTCGACCAGCGAAGTTGATGCGGTGAAAGCCAGGGATTGCGCCAACTCCATGGACCGCATCGATCTTGTGGACCATCGAGATAACTGTCGATGCCGGCGTCCTGGCAACGTTCTCCTTCGGCCACGATGACTACAATGGCGCCGCCGTGCAATGTTGTGCTTGCAACCATTCAAGGTCAACCGATCAACACACTTGACAGGAGCTTGGACGGCGAGAGACCCTCCAGCCTTCGTTAGATTCCGGCATGCGGTCTCGCCAGCATCCGGCCAACACAAAGGAACAGGATGGGTGAATTACGTGTAAAATAGGAGGGCGGAGAGGTCTAGATGAATCCCTGGACGCGACTTCGAAGTTGGTACGCGACCTTCATCGCGGTCGGGCGATCGTCCGGGTTGAGGGCCAAGCACTCGCGACCCAACGTCAAGAACCACATCGGACACTCGGGCGAGAACGACGGCACCAATTGACCCGCCATCACCTTGGCCATGATCGCTGTGTCCGTGTACGGGTTGCCCGACGGGTTCCGCAGGTCCGAGTACGGGATGATCTCGGTGCTCAATTCGCTCAGGAGCACCCCGAGACTGAAAATGTCGGCCGACTCCGAGTAGTGGCCGTCCATGAGGACCTCCGGCGCGATCCACCGGTACGTGCCGATGCCGGCCGTCATGGTCGCGTCGTCCGTTTCCCTCGCAATGCCAAAGTCCGTGATCTTGGCGTTCATGTGCGAGTCCAGCAACACATTGCGCGATTTCAAGTCGCGATGGATGACCTTTGGATCCATCGAGTGCAGGAACACGAGGCCCTCTGCAATGTTGAGTGCGCACTGGAGTTTATCCTGCCACGTAAACGGCGTCGTGGCTTGGTGGGTGTGGTTGGCTTCCAGGACCTGGCGCAAGTCCCCTCCGTCCATGTACTCTGTCAGGAGCATCATGTCGGACGGCTTGGTCCACGAAACACCGATGAAGCGAACCACGTACGGGCAATCGATCCTAGCCATCCATCGCGTCATCAGTCCATTGCCCGCATGCACACATTGTGGTCGTACTTGGAAAGGAGCTTGATTTCCCAAATGAACTTCTGCAAGTCCGCCAGGGACGTCTTGGATGGGAGTAGCCGCTTGACGGCAATCGAACTGCCCAAGTGCTCCCCGAGCCAGACCTCGCCGTACGCGCCTTGGGCCAGCGGCTTGACCAGGTGCACGTCCTTGGGATGAACTTTGTGCATGTCGAGGTCGCACAAGTCGAGCTGGCCTGGCGTGCTCTTACTCATAAACAAGGACGAGTTGCTGGTCGTGGCTCGGCTTGAAGCACCCGAGTTCAGATCTTGTGTGGACCCAACTGTGTGGCCCCCATTGCTCCCGCCGTAGCGTGGCTCTGCGTTGGATGGTTTCGACATTCCCGTCGAATTCCCTGCAGAAGACGACGTGGCAGCCGTGGCTGTCGCTGTTGGGGCAGGCTCTGTCGGTTCGTTCAGAACAACGTAGGCGGTTGTTGTCGTCGTTGGAGGAGGGATATTGCGCTTCCGATTCTTGACGATCAGCACACCGATGAACAGGAGGACGACCACGACCCCCGCCACGATACCCACGATGGCAATCGTGGAGATCCCAGACGAAACGTCGGGATATAGCGACGGATACACATACGGGTTGGCGGTTGGGGTGAAGACGCTGCCGCCGCTTGCCGGGGTCGGTGCGACGGTGATGCCGTCGCAAACTGTCATCAGAGACTGCAAACTCACGTTCTTGGACGTCGATCTGTCCTTGAGGTAGCACGACCCATAATCCGAGTAAGCGCCGACGGTGGAAAGCGTCGTGAGAAAACTGCGACAATATGGTTGCGTGCAGTCGTTCTTTCTCACGGCCGCGAGATCAATCTGGTAGCTTGCAATCCACGTCGAGTACGAGCACGAGTACCCGGACGTATACGACTGCAGGTACGTGAGGAAGATGCTGCATGTGTCGAACGACATGGCGGCCAGCGGCGCAGCGCGGGGCGGCCGGCGAGTGGAAGAGTGGAAATTGCGTGGCAGCAACGTTCTGGCCAGATGCCGCCTCGCCGTTCAACGAGGTGAAAGGCATTTCAATATCTTACTTTTTGTAACGAACGTATGCATTCATCCCTGTGGTCAGAATTAGACTTCAAAAAACTATACTTGTTTTAACTAGAATCACAAAATAGTTCATATCGTTGCTGACCACATCCCGCATCATGGAACTTTAGCGTGAAATATTCCGACAAACGTCGTCGTGTTGTGTGAAAAATCGCATGTATTGGCCGCGCCATGAATCCACCGAGTGACCGATGTCCTGCGACGTATGGCAGCGAGAGATGCATGCGCGTCGGGGCAGCGTGAGAGGCGAGGAGCTTCTCCGAACGGCGTCCCAGTCGAGGCGTGGTGTTTGCTGAACGATTGAAGGGGTTTCACCGGCCAAAATCCAACAAAAATTACGAAAAAATCAAAAACTATGTGAGCAAAGCACATTTTTTACTTGAAGTTTTCGGTGGGAAGGACCTGGCCACAATGTGCCGCGGCGGCGCGATCGCGAGTTTCGACGTGTGGACGCTTGTCAGGGATGGAGCAGAGACAACTCCCATCGGCTAGCGCATGGCAGAATTGGTGCGCATCCTATCAACAGAAAGACAAAATCGTTTGTTCGGAATCGTTCTTCGGCTCACCCGATAGAGCGTCATGCCGGCCCCGAAGCTCGCTCTGCAAACCATGGGGAAGGGGGCTGGGCACGATGGGGCGAAGCAGCGCACCGACGTCGTGATGATGGCCCTCGTTTCACGCGCAGATTGGACTTGCTCTCGTCCATGCTTGCTGATGGTAAAAACATGCATCATGACATCGTTCCAACGTGTTTCGCCGCCCGACAACCCGCGGTGGCTGTGCCACATGTTCCCGAGGTGCCGCCGGTGGAACCCACATCACTTTGCGTTGTTGTTGCGGGCGTGTTCACTCGCGATGGCTTCTAACACAGCTGGACGCGTCGACGTGCAGTGCGACACCTGCGGGCTATTTCCGTTTGTCGGCCCGCTGTTCGTGTCGAAGCGGGGCTTCACCCTGTGCCATTCGTGCGCTTCGTCTGGAAAATATCAGGCTTCCCATGGTCCGTTTGACGTCGAGAGCGCCGACTCGCCGGCCCTCTTTCCCGCACGCGCGACGTGCGATGGGTGCGCGATCGCGCTCGACGCGACGGGGTTCCGGTCCACGTCGGTGTTCAATTTTGACTTGTGTGAGTCGTGCCATGCGTCCTCCAAGTGGGAAGCGACCCACGGTCCATTCCTGCCGCAGCAGTACCATCCGTCCAACGTCCGGTACGATGCGCAGTGTGACGGCTGCGAAATGTTCCCAATCGTGGGGGCCGTGCACAGCTCATTGACGTCACCGGGGTTTGTGCTTTGCGACCCGTGCGAGAGATCGCACCGGTGGACTCAATCGCATGGTCCATTCACGACGGAATCGCCGCCTTTCGAACACAACCAAGTCCTGTTCGACTCGACGTGCGATGGATGCGCCAAACTTCTCGTGGGAACTGGGTTTGCATCTGCGTCGACGTTCGACTACCACGTGTGCGCAGCGTGCCACGCGTCCTCGCGCGTGCCTCCGAACGGGCCGTTTGTCCCGATTGTGTTTGTGCAGCGACCTTCGTCGCAGCTACGCGAAATGGGCGCCAAGGGCAGCTGCCAGGGCTGCGGCGAGCCCCTCGACTCGTTTGCGTACCGCAACCGCGTTGGCTTTACCATTTGCTTTACGTGCGAGACGTCGGGCAAGTTTGACCTCCTCCACGGCCCGTTCATCGACACGGACTCGTACCAGATGAATCAATTGATCTAGACTTGGACGACGGCATAGCTTGCCCATGGACTTGTGGCTGGATCGTGCACTCGGCAAGAATGTAGCGCACGTCTCGAGGAATATGCATCCAATGAAATGGGATGGTCCCAAGCGATAATGGTAGCGTTATCGAGAGCCCGTGGGAATTGCCGAGCGCCACCTGCACCGACGACGCTGCCGTGTAGGGCCTCACGGACTCTTTGATTCTCGACGGAACCATCGGCAGCAATTACATCTCTGGACTCGATTGCTGCTTGAACAACAATCGAAACCATTGCTTGCCCACGGACTAGCATTTGCTTCTCGACGGAACCATCGGCGGCATCTACGCCACTGGACTGCTTGAAGACAGCGTGCTTGGTCGCAGCCACGGCGTCGGTCGTGCGTCGCCGGTGCCCTTCTCCGGGTCGACTGGCCCTACGATGTTGATTGAAAACGCCGACTCTAGCGCAAAAAGCATTCGCGTGGTTCAAGACAGTGTGCATCAGCGGTCCATGTGTCGAAGGGGCATGGTAGCATGGACTCGATGACGCCGCAGAGCTATGCAGTCGAGGCGCACGATGAGGCATTGTGTAGTGCTTGGTAGCTGCGTCGATCCAAGCAAACGTGGCTGCAGCTGTCGCACCGCGTGCCAAGGCAGGCATCCAGGCTAGCTCGCTGGTCAGCTGACCTTTCGTTGCTGAAAGAAGCGCCGGTCACACTTGGACGATTTCCTGGTTGGTGGCACAACGCGCCCACATATGGACGAATCAAGGCTGCATTGTCACGCTGGCCGAAGTTCGAAGTCCGCAGCGACAAGCTCGGCTAGAGTTAGCTGGCGAGCCCATCTGGCAACTCATCCCACGCACAGAGATGCACACTGTCAGCTTGCTCGTGGCTGTCCTGGCGGCGGCGAGGACCGACCCATCTCTCGCCGTACCTTGCTCATCGTCGGTGTATCTGACCGACGTAAATGCGCTCCTCAAGACTTGTGAAGCAGCCCTCCCAGCAGGGACAACACCCGCGACCTTCGTCAAGAGCAACACGTCGCAGTACTGCAGCATCCCGTCGTGCAGGTCGTACGAGGACGCCGTGTCGGCGCTGCCATGCGAGCCCAAAAACCGCACGTCGCCATCGACCAAGTCGGTCTGCTCGACGACGTCCGCGGCGCCCCCCGTCGACGACAGCCGCCCCTGCTCGACCAGTGTGCTTCAAGCGCGAGCGCCACTCAAGGCCAAGTGCCGCCAAGTGTTTGGAAGTCGCAATGTGACGACCCAAGAAGATCTCGAACAGTATTGCGCCGTCGATGCGTGCGCAGCCAACGTCAAACAGTACGCCAACCTGACGTGCACGGTGGGCGACGTGCCGGCCAGCATTTACGCCACCCTGTGCGACTCGACGCATGCTCAACCGTACGTGCCGCCGGCCATCCCATGCGGCGACGACGTGCGGAAGGCTCGTGCCGCCCTCAAGTTGCGATGCGAACAAGTCTCGGGGTTTCCGTCGCTCATGAATGCAACGTCGTTGGTCGACCTCGAAGCGTACTGCGCCTATCCTGAATGCAAAGCCAACGTTCGTCAGTACGTTAACTTGACGTGCGCCATCGACGGGTATGCTTCCTCCTTGTACGCTACCATGTGCGACGATTTGACCCGGCCCAACTCCGGGGGCGTTCCAGTGTGCTCTGCCGACGTCACCAACGCCCGCGCGGCGCTCCAGCTCACATGCCAACAGGCAACGGGGGGCCTCACCCCCTTGAACCTTACCACCGTCGCCACGAGGTCCGTGTTCTGCGAGAACGCTGCGTGTGCCGGCTACCTCAAGCAATTTACGGACGTGACCAACTGCTCGATTTATGGAGCCCCGGCCAGCGTCTGGTCGACCGTGTGCGATCGTGTGGTAAAGCCTCCGTACTTGACGACCGGCGTGCCCACGACCGGGTCCCAAAGCGCTGCCGAGTGCACCCTCGGCGCGTTTCAGTATGGGTTCGAAGCGGCAAGCAGTCGGTGCACGACGGCCGCCGGGATCGCGACGCTCCTCCCGAATTCCACCACTTCCGCCATGTCGATGGCGAGCTTGGCCAAGCTGTGCCCGATCCCCGAATGCGCGACAGCATTCCTTCTCTTCACAGATGCCAAGTGCACGATTCAAGGCGTCCCGGCCTCGGTCATTGCAAAGCTTTGCGCGCCAGCATCCCGCCCCACCGCGACATCGGCGCCGTCTGTGGCTGGGAGCGTGTCGGTGCTTTCCGTCGCCGTCGCAACAGTTGTAGTCGTAGTTTGGAACTTGTAGCTCGTGGAGGCAATCGATGGTTGCGACTGCGTACGAGATCCGTTCGAGTGGTGGGCACACTGCATGTCCATCCCGTCGTGGAAACGCCAAGCGCTTCGACGTGCCATCGATCGAGGCATCCGCTTGCATGCCATCCCCTCGTTGATGTATGGATTCGACATGCACGAGCGGCAGCAACTCGCTCGCTCCTTCTGACGAGTTGCAGCAGTGGCGGGCGCTCGTGGAGGGGTTTGGACGACCGGCGGAGGCCGCTCCAACCTCGCACCCGTTTGCACCATCGACCACATCCATAGGTGCCATTTCCGGCGGGGACGTTGTGCTTCAAGCCATCGTCGCGGAGAACAACAGATAAACATGGGATGTCGAAATGGGTTAGCGGTTGGCACAACTACATGAGCATGACAGCTGCAACTAACATCCCGAGCGTTGCCATGAAGGAGAGGACGGGGGTTGGCGCAGGGGATGGCGCGGGCAGAGGACTCGCCACCGTGGATGTTGGGGCCTTGGTCCCGACGCAGGTCTGGGCGACGAGTGATGCCGGCTCGTCGTTCAGCATGCACGTCAGCGACCCGTACAAGGCAAACATTCGGGTGCATTCAGAATATTGGCACAGCGAGTCCATGATGATGTTGGTTGTAGGCGGCGCTATGAGTCCCGCGACACGAAGGCAGGTATTCTGAGCTGCCACGAGGTCCGCAGGGAGTGACGTAGCCGTGCACTCGTTGACGGTGGTCGATGCCGTTGTCATGGGAAGCGCCACCGGCGCGGTCGACGCAGTCGTCGCGTTGTTGCAAAGTGTGGCAAATGCGCTAGCAGGGGCGCCGTTGATGGTGCACATGAGAGTCGCATGCTGCTTCGCACTCGCCGCGCATGTGGGAATGCTGCAGTACGTTGCCAACGCGGTCGCATTCGTCAAGTTGGCGATCGATGGGATGTTGGACAGCGATGCGCACTTGACTTGGATCAATGTGAGGGGGCGCAAGTCGTCCATTGTGCACGGCGGCTGGTCCACTTTGGTCGGCGCAGGCGACGTGTCCACGAGCCGAGGTGTAAACGGATCGCAAATGTGGGCAGCGACTTTGTTGGATCGCCCATCGCTCGTGCAATTCAAGAGGGCAAACGACCGGACGTACGCGCGGCACGCTGGAAACGTGCACATGTTGGCCGCGTCCGATGGGTTGGTCAAGTTGAGCTGCGATTCGGCTTTGCACTTGGAATAGAACGGCACGATGGGCTGGACATCCTTTGGCGTGCACGGGAGTTCCGCCGCGGTGGCAACCGACACCAGCACCATCCACCCCGCGAGCCATATCGATCGAGCCATGCGGAATCGGGGGATGCTCGGCGGTGTCTGCGGCGTTGTTGCGCCCACGGCCGCTACGTCAGATCTTGAACTTCAAGAATTGGATCGTGCAAGGTGGGGCCAACAAATGTGGACAAGCGCTCATCCTGGATGCACATGGATAGCACATGCATCGTGTTTGAAGCGCGCCGTTGCCGGCGCCATCAACGACTCACAGTCCTCGTGGAGGGAGGGTGGTCGTGTCGAGCATAGATATCGGCCACACCAGGCTGCACAGTGGTCGTCCCTAGGGCGCCGCTTACCTGCGGCGAAATCTTACAAACCAACGACAAAGATAATGCGCAGCTGCCAAACCCGATGGATGTGTTCGGGACTGTTCTATGTCGTGGCCACTCTGTCGTCGCTCGTGCACACGCAGCGGGAGCAGGCGTGGCCACCGAGCCAGCGACGTAGAGTGCGTCTTCGATCTGTATGGCGTTGACCATAGCTGCCGCCATGGCGCGGCACTGGCGCGCCTCGATCGTGGGAAGCGCGGCGGTCGATCGCGGTCGTGAGCCAGGTGGTGTCGAAGTTCGCTGGCAACTTCGACAGACTCACCCGGGTCAGATGGAACTGTAGCCTTTCACGGTCTGTCGCTTTGTCGCGGAATACTTTCGAGATGGAGACGGCAGCCATTCGCCGTGCTCGTGGCACGGTGGACGTGCCGCCTTTGAATCGAAGGAGCCTCGGGTCCAACATGCACGCCGCCGCCACGGCCGCTCCAACACGGACGGTCGAGCCAGCAGCCATCACAATGTGTAGCCAAGAGCTCATGACCCAAACGCACTTGATCCTTTCCAGCACGCCCAAGTACGCTCCGTGCTACGTCACAACGCTCCTCGACACCAACATCAACTCGACCAAGCTCCGGGAGGACTGCGATATCCCGGAATGCTTTAGCGTACTCAACCAAAACAAAGTGGCGGCCGCAGCCAGCCCCGGCCTCAACTGCTACGTGTACGACATTGTGACCAGGACTGCTTTTCGGAACGGCGACGCCGTCAACTTTTGCTTCCCCACCACAACGGTGGCCCCTCCGACCTCTTCCGCCTCAGCTCTGAACACGAACGGCGACTCGACGTCGGTCGTGGGCGGCGCAATCGGTGGCGCGGTCGGACTTGTGCTTCTTGTTGGCCTTGTCTGGTGGTGCCGTCGCCGCACGAGCCGTCGCAACGACTACTCACGTGCCGCCAATTTCAACGAGGTGCACTCGCCTGTAGTGGCCCTGCCCGTGCCGAAACCCGTCACGACGAACAACAGCAGCCACCATCCCACAACCACGACGTCATTCACGGGATCTTCTGGCCCAGGCGGCAGCAACCCTCCATTTCTCAACAACACGTACGACGGTATCGTGACGCAAGGACTTGCCCGAGACCTCGAGCAACTGGAGCTGCATCGGATTCCGTTCGCCGACGTTTGCCTCGTCCAGCCACTGGCAGAAGGCGCATTTGGCCAAGTGTGGCTCGGCAACTACATGGGCCAACGCGTCGCGGTCAAGAAGCTCCTGCCTCGAAAAGCCACCACGGCCGACTTGATGCAGTTCGTCAACGAAATCAAGCTCGTCGCCAAGTACGTCGTGCTGGACGGCGCGCCCGCTCACGCCGCGTTGTAGGTTTGATTGTCCGTACGTTGTGTCGTTTGTCGGGGCGGCTTGGCACAAACCGATCGACATGGTCCTCGTGACCGAGTTCATGGACCGAGGCGACCTCCGCGGCGTGCTCCAGGCGAACGCAGCCAAGCCGTGTGCCGAGCTGACGTGGCACGACAAGGTCGAGTGTGCGCTCGGCATCGCCGAAGGGCTCGTGTACCTCCACTCGATGGACCCCGTCGTGATCCACCGAGACCTCAAATCGCGCAACGTCCTGCTCGACTCGGTCCGCGGCACGAAAATCACCGACTTTGGCATCGCCCGCGAAACGCACGACCAAACGCTGACGCTCAACGCCGGGACGTACCGGTGGATGGCGCCAGAGGTCGTGCAAGATGGCCACTACTCGCAGTCGGCCGACGTGTTTAGCTTTGGCGTGATCCTGTCGGAGCTCGACACGGAGCAGCTGCCGTACGCGAACCAACGCAACGACCGCGGCAACCCGTTCACGGACTTGGGGTTGATGGAGGCCGTGGCCAAGGGCCGCATCCTCCCGTCGTTCACGTCTAGTTGTCCCGACTGGTTTCGGGAGCTCGGTCTGGCCTGCTTGTCCTTGGACCCGACGCTGCGGCCGTCGGCCACCCAAGTGTCGTATGCGATTCGAACGCAATTGCAGAGTGCATCTGCATCACGCGAGGACCACGAATATAGTTCAAGTAGCGTCGGTTATTTAGTTTAGTCGGCGCATTGCGACCCCTGCTCGTTTGATCTCCCGCATGCTGCACACAGGTTCGTCGAGGGGTGCGTTGTGGCGCGCATGAAGCCATGAGAAACCGCAGTGAACATGAACCACTGACTGCAGCGATGTCGAGCTTGCAAGTGAAGACGAAGGGGAAAAGGACGGAATGAAAGCCACTCCAGCGCTGCAATTGTGACATCGGACAGAGTTCCAGCGCAGTTGGACCGCACCCACACCACGTCTAGGCTGCATCCCAGCACTTGATGCTAGCCGGCTTCACTCGAACGTAACCTGTCTGCGCATGAACCAGCGCGTTCGGGTGCCTGATGTGCGCCAACAAGAGCGATCGATCCGCCGGCTGCGACGCACACGCACAGACCTCGATTGCGCGCGAGCGGTCCCGAAGGATTTTGGAATGCTGGGGCAGTCGTGAGATTGGCGACGGTGGTGGTGGCCGCAGGCGCAGTGCGTGAGAGTGATGGGAATGAGAATGGCCCAAGCAAAACTATCCGTGCCGCCGCCTACTTTCCCCTGGACGCACTCTCTCGACAGCTCAAACTTGTTGCAGCTCTGGCATCCACTTCGTCGCACGTGGCATGTACATTTCGCGTATTTACGTGTGCGCTACACTTCGGTCCTCATGGACGCGCACAAACCACTCGTCTCCATGGCATCTCCATGCCTATTAACTTACGTATGCTTGGTCCTTGTCGCTACTTGCCGCGACTTGGATCTGCAATTGCGTTCGAATCGCATACGACACTTGGGTGGCCGACGGCCGCAGCGTCGGGTCCAAGGACAAGCAGGCCAGACCGAGCTCCCGAAACCAGTCGGGACAACTAGACGTGAACGACGGGAGGATGCGGCCCTTGGCCACGGCCTCCATCAACCCCAAGTCCGTGAACGGGTTGCCGCGGTCGTTGCGTTGGTTCGCGTACGGCAGCTGCTCCGTGTCGAGCTCCGACAGGATCACGCCAAAGCTAAACACGTCGGCCGACTGCGAGTAGTGGCCATCTTGCACGACCTCTGGCGCCATCCACCGGTACGTCCCGGCGTTGAGCGTCAGCGTTTGGTCGTGCGTTTCGCGGGCGATGCCAAAGTCGGTGATTTTCGTGCCGCGGACCGAGTCGAGCAGGACGTTGCGCGATTTGAGGTCTCGGTGGATCACGACGGGGTCCATCGAGTGGAGGTACACGAGCCCTTCGGCGATGCCGAGCGCACACTCGACCTTGTCGTGCCACGTCAGCTCGGCACACGGCTTGGCTGCGTTCGCCTGGAGCACGCCGCGGAGGTCGCCTCGGTCCATGAACTCGGTCACGAGGACCATGTCGATCGGTTTGTGCCAAGCCGCCCCGACAAACGACACAACGTACGGACAATCAAACCTACAACGCGGCGTGAGCGGGCGCGCCGTCCAGCACGACGTACTTGGCGACGAGCTTGATTTCGTTGACGAACTGCATCAAGTCGGCCGTGGTGGCTTTTCGAGGCAGGAGCTTCTTGACCGCGACGCGTTGGCCCATGTAGTTGCCGAGCCACACTTGGCCAAATGCGCCTTCTGCCAGTGGCTGGACGAGGCAAACGTCGGCGAACGGAATCCGATGCAGCTCCAGTTGCTCGAGATCTCGGGCAAGTCCTTGCGTCACGATGCCGTCGTACGTGTAATTGACTTCAATGGCACCCGACGTGGAAGAGTCGTTGGCTGTGATGTTATCGCTGCTGGAGTTTTTCGCGTTCAGTCGTTGCACAGGCGGCGTCCCAAGAGCGTGGAAGGTACCGACACTTGGGCGATTGGGTTCGCGCACGGCGCGGCGACGATGGCGGCACCACCAACCAAAACCTACAACCAGAGCGAGCGCGACGACCCCTCCACCAATCGCTCCTCCCACGACAGTGGAGGAATCGGAAGCGAGCGCTGTGCTCGGCATCCACGTCGTGGTCGGGATCGTCGCAGTGGATTTTTCAGCGCAGAACGTGATGAGGTCGCTGTGGGGGAAAGCCGTCGTCGTCACCATGTCGTACATGAAGCAATTCAAGTTGCGCCGGGCGGTTCGCTCCTCTTGGTTCTGGACAAGCCATGTGAAGCACTCGGTGGCATTGCAGTCGCGACGCAGCAGCGTCGAGTTGATGTTGGCATTCACGACGGACGACATGTAGCACCGAGACGGTGGGCGCACGGTTGGGGTGCCACTGACGGCATCTCCCGTGCAAATGGCGACGGCAGGAGTCGGCACCACGGTCAACAGATCCTCGATCGCCGGCGAGGAAGTCGTCATCGTCTACGAATGAGTTTGTGGCGTCGCGACAAGGTTGAGTTGCCGACTGATTCGACGAGTCGGCAGCCAACTACGTACCCACACACACACACACCGGATCCTCCAACCTGGACAACGTGTGCATCTCGTGTGCTTACAATTGGTGTCCAAGTCGGACCTGCGTTTCGAAACGTGCATGGCGTCCGCGTGAAGGAGCTCTCGTCTCCCCGACGACAAGGGCCGGCGATGCTCCATGCGATGCTCTAGAGGTGCCGTTGCAAGCGCTCGACACCCGGTCGCACACAAACCGACGGGGGCTTGTACTCTACAACCAACATGCGGCCATGCCACATGAGCGATGGGCAGCCCATGTCCTCGCTTGGGTCGTCCCCCATGTCTGCCATCGCCACATGAACGCAGGGCTGCACGCCCCACCCGGTTGTTGCGCTCCACGGCAAACCAACATGAATGTGTCGGGGGAGTTGTTCGGTGGCCGACGGGACAGTCGACAAGAGTAGCACATCGTCGACGATCGAGCGCGGTGGCGTCCTTCGACTGCGGATCACGACGACGGCTGTCAGGCTGCGCACGACGTGGATGGGCTTTGATGGCGTTTGCGGCCATGGCTAGCCCTGACTGCGCTGCACGCACTGGCCGGACCACGGCACACGTCGACGGCCGCCGAGTTGTCGCGCTGGCTCCGGCCATGTTCTCCGAAGTTTCTGCTGCCCGTAGACAGGCACGTATACAAACGTCAAGATAAATCCAAGCGGGAGAAAAAGTGGGAGGCCAAATATTGCGAAGGACGATGCAAATTTTGTGCTGGAATTCCGCCACGACCGGCTGTCGTCGGCCAGTTTGGGATGGCGCCACCGACATGCAAGCAATGGTTCCTGACCAACTTTGCGTCCAACATGAGTGCGACGGGGAAAGGGTCGTGCTACCTGCGCAAGGCACTAGCAGTTGGAACGATTGATGCCCAGCGAGTGGCGTCCGAGGACTGCCAGGAGCCAACGTGCATGGCCGTTTTGAATGAGCTCTCGATCGCCACGACAGAAGACTGCACCATTCCAGAGGTCCAATCGGGGAATCCATGGCTGTTCTCAAAGGTCAAGGAGTTGTGCGACGTTCCCGCGACAACGGGGCCTCGCGTCGCTACCAAAACCACCACGGCGAAGCCACAAGCGGTCCCGTCCCCCAAACCGGCAACAACACCGACCGTCGACCCCGACCTCATGAATCTTGTCGTGGAGGCAAAGCCATCTTGGTTCAACACGAACAAAGCCATCATTATCTGGGTCGGTGCTGGCGTTATTGTGTGTCTTGTCGTGATGGTCATCGTGTTGTGGCGCCGGAATCGGCAACAGCGACAGGTGCCGGTGGTGGCCGCGAGTGTTTTGACGCAACCACCTCCGTACGCGCCAGTGGCCGACCGCGACGCGACATTGCAGCTCCAGCGCAGCAGCAGCACGACCTTTGCCACGCAAGTCGATCCACGTTTTCGACCAAACCCGTTCCTCACAACGTCAGGATTGGCACCGACAAACACAACCAGCATGCTGTCTGCGACCGGACCACTGCCATCGGTGATCGGCATCCCCGAGAGTTTGCTGGACATGTGCGGCTTGGAAGTGCATCGACTCGCATCGAACGACCTACGGCTGACGCACGCCATCGCTCAAGGCGGATCCGGCGAGGTCTGGATCGGCGACTACCTCGGGGAGCGTGTGGCCCTCAAGAAATTGCTCACGACAAAGGCCAACTCGATCCCCGACTTGCAAAAGTTCATCTGGGAAATCAAGCTCCACTCCAAGTACGGCGATCGTTCGGCCGCCACGACGTGTATTCACATGCACAACTCTCTCGATAGGATGGAGTCGCCGTATGTGGTGCGGTTCGTCGGCGTCGCATGGACGAAACCAGCCAACATCACGCTTGTGACCGAGTTTATGGACGGCGGCGACCTTCGCAGCATCCTGCAAGCGAACGCTCTCAGCCGGACGTTGACATGGCGCCACAAGATGCAGTGCGCGCTCCACGTCGCTGAAGGGCTCGTGTACCTGCACACGATGGACCCGGTGGTCATCCACCGAGATTTGAAGTCGCGCAATGTGTTGTTGGATGCGCGCTTGAACGCCAAGATCACCGATTTTGGCATCGCACGAGAAGCGGAGGACGTCACAATGACGGCTGGCATCGGGACGTACCGATGGATGGCGCCAGAAGTGCTCCAAGACGGCCATTACTCGGAACTGGCAGACTTGTTTAGCTTTGGCGTGATCCTGTCCGAGTTGGACACGGAGTTGCTGCCATATTCGGACCTGCGCAACGCGTCCGGAAACCCGCTCACGGACACGACCATCATGGCCAAAGTCATGGCTGGCCAGATCCAGCCGACGTTTTCGGCGACCGTGCCAAGCTGGTTCTCGGCCTTGGCAAAGGAATGCTTGGCTCGGAACCCGTCGGACCGGCCAAGTGCGATGCAAGTCGCGTACCGCTTGCGCTTGCAGGTAGATGCCGCGTAGGCTCGTCGGTTCGAGCCGCGCGCGTTGTCCCGTCGAAATAAAATGTTATGAAGAATCTGTTGTGAGTTTTCGCCAGACCAACGACGTGACCTCACGGGTGAAGGTTGGCAGGCTTTGTCGGTGGAGAAAGCAACGCCAACTGGACGCATTCCCTCGGGAACTATCACGATAGCGTCGGTAGCAGGTGTGTCTACCACGCCGTCGAGATGGCCCATCCGTCTCGGTGGTCGCACGTGCCCCCAGCGACGTCGACAAACTGCGTTCGAGTCGCTTGGGGCAATCGATCGAGCGACCGCTAACTCGCAAGGATGGGTTGGATTTCCAGGACGTCGACGCGACCTCTTCGATGAAACATCTCCATGTTTGTCGACAGAAGCCTGAGTCAGTCGCGTGAACTCGTTCCCGTCGCTTCGAACGGCACGTTGCCGTGCAAAGTCACCCTGGAACGATATATTCCGCCCCCACGCCGATTCGTCGCCAACCGCGTGCGGGGCTCGCAAATTGGCTTGGTTTGCTTCCAGGAAAAGCGTGCTATTCGATATCATATGAACATGGCAGCACAGCGGCGGCGGCGTCGATGGATGTCTCCATCGCGAACCCCACTTCAACAATCCATCTCCCTTCCACAGATCATCGCTGTCATGGCGTGCAGTGACTCTACCAAACGTTCGACGACAGGGCCGTCGCGAAGAATGCAATCCCACAGGTTGCTCACCCACGCATCTCGAGCTGCTCCAACTCGTCGTCGGCGGCAATTGCGTGGCACAACAATCGACGACATTGTAATTCTGGGTATTTTAATTCGCAATGCATGTTACCAAAATCCGATGAACATTTGGTCCGTCTTTGTGAATTTATCATAACGTGACTTATTCCTGGTCGTCAAATGTGCGTCGGTTCAGCGCGGCTTTCCAATTTCGTGTGCAATACGCGATCGACCGATTAGCCATGGTGGACGACTTGTATTGCGCCAACTTGATCGCGGTGGTCGTGGGCCAGTTCGTGGCAGAGAACGGCACGGCGTTCAGAGGGTGCTCGTTCTACGAAGGCCTGAACAAGCCCACGACGCAGGTCGACCCAGCCCTCCTTCGAGACAAGGACTGCAAGAACGTCGACTGCACGACCCTCTGGGCCGACTTTGTCCAGCTCACAGGAGACTGCCCCATCTTGAATCAAGAGACTCGACGAAGTGCGAACATTTCGTCCCTCGCGAGCGTGTGCACCCGAACGACCACTGCCATTCCGACCACGACATTGTCCACGTCGCCGGCATCTCCAACACCAACGACGCAATCGTCGACATCCCCTGCCGTTTTGGCGGACACAACGACTTCTTCGTCGTCCTCGTCAACTGCTACAATTGGCATCATCGCAGGCGCAGTCGTTGTCGTAGTCGCGCTCGCGGTGTTTGGATGGACTCGACGACGAACGCAAGCGCCTTTGTCGACCAAGCACAGGGACCAAGGGGACTCTGGTGACCAGCAAGGTGATTCGTACGGTCCTCATTTTACGCCATCCAACACGTACACCGGTGGGAACTCGGCCAACGCCAGTTCGATCCACAGTGCGTCCATCGTGGATTCGGCGCAGCTGAGTGTCATGCAGCGAAACCTCGTCGACTTGGACATGTTTCGGGTTCCGGTCGAGGACGTGACCTTCACCAAACCACTCGCTGAAGGCGCGTATGGCGAGGTGTGGCTCGGCGAACTTCGCCAGGAACGTGTGGCCATCAAGCGTCTGCTCCCAACGAAGCGCATCAACGCCATCGACTTGCAAAAGTTCATCTCAGAGATTGTCCTTCTCTCGAGGTACACGCCATCCCTCGTAGCCTTTGGCCACTCATGGAGTGGCTAGAATCGATTGCCCGTATGTCGTGCACTTTATCGGGGCTGCGTGGTCCCGCCCGAGCGACATTATCATGATCACGGAGTTCCTGCCTCGCGGAGACCTGCGCCAAGTCCTGGATGCCAATCAACTCGATCCAGCCTACTTCCCGTGGCCGAAAAAGGTGCAATGCGCACACCACATCGCCGAAGCCCTCGTATACCTCGACTTCATGACGCCCAAGGTGATCCATCGCGACTTAAAGTCGAGAAATGTCCTCATGGACAAGAACTTGTGCGCCAAGCTCACTGACTTTGGCATTGCCCGGGAGACGCAAGATGACGAGCACACTCTCACCGCTGGCATCGGGACGTACCGGTGGATGGCCCCCGAAGTGCTGCAGGACGGCCACTACACGGAAAAGGCCGACATTTTTAGCTTTGGCGTGATCCTGGCCGAGCTGAGTACCGAAATGGTGCCGTACACGGACCTGCGCAACGCAAAGGGCAATCCACTCACGGACACGGCCATCATGGCCAAAGTCATGACGGGCGAGCTTCAGCCTGCGTTCAGCCCAACGTGTCCTGCCTGGTTTGCAGACCTCGGCCGGCAATGCATGGCCATTAATCCCAACGACCGACCGGCGGCGACCATGCTCGCGTTCCGGTTTCAAAAAGAAGTCGCGAACCTCGCGTCCACCAAGTAGTTCAGGCATTCGTGGACCACATTGGCAACTCGCTAAACATTTTTGCATGAATGGCGTACTGGATGACACAAAATGCAGGGAACGCCATGTCGGACGTGCGGCACCTGCGCTCGAAGGGATCGCTATGCTGGAAAGCCACGGCAACCAGGCGCCTCGTTAGCCATCGCGACATGCCGCTGTACGAAAGGTGGCTAGTGCTCTACGGCGCCAATTGCAGTCGCTCCATGGTTCAGATTGACGGCAAGAGCTTGGGTCGCGATGCTGCCAAATATGATGGCAACGGTCCATTGTAAACGATGGAGGTACACTTCCAGCGAGTTTGTTCATGCTTGTGTGGCATTGCGACCATCAGTGCATGGTCGAGTTGGGTGGGAGAGGTGCTGGCGGTGGCGTCACCTCTATCTCTCGCACGTTCCGCAAACGAAAGCAAGCACCATGACGCGCAGTTGCACCACACAGCGCATCCCCTTCCCTTTGGGACGCCCCCTCGTTGGAAGATTTGTGGATGCTGCATTGGTACATGACGCGTCGTCACCGGTGCATCACGCCATGGAGAGGGACGCATCGGCCGACGCTATTGGTCCCACGACCCGCAATGCGAAGCAAAGTACAGTCAGGGTTCACGGAGGGGTGCCCTGCATGCTAGTGTGGTCCGCCTGTGTGCTTGGGCTTGAGTACACTCTGCCGTGCAGTGCTAGCTCAATGTCCTTCACCCATGCAGCAACAGTGTGCCCAACCTGTACGTTTAGTGCAATGGAAGTAGTCCGATCTGAACGGGCTGAGTATTTACCCATTCCCCGCGCCAGGCAGCGTCCCGCCGACGGTCGCCTATGAACGACTACATGGCGACGCCCCCCTGCCGCCGATGCCTCAACAACCTGCCAGGCATCGTACGTTCTATTTGCCCCGTGTGCCCTCACAGAATTCTTGTCCCAATACCAAGTGAACTCAACGCCCGTCCGAGCGACTGACTGCTTGAGCACGTCGTTGTGTCACGTGGGTTGAATGCGTTCGTCGCAGCGGTCCAAGTGCCAATCGACTTGCCCATTGTGTGCTGACAGACCTCGTCCTCTCAAATCTCTCGACAACGTTCGGGACCCTTGGGGTGCTTTGCTTGGGCGACATGCCACCTCCATCCACAGCCTCCACGGCAGCGACCATCAACACATCGCCACCCACGCCGTCGCTCCAAAGGAATGCCACGAGCACCGTCGCCGTTCATGTGACGATGCCTCCAGGGTACATTGGAAGGGTACGTTCACCATGGCGATGGTCCTTCCGCCGCTTGTGCCACCGCGGCGTCCACAATTGGTACGACTTCCACCAACTCCACGTGGCTTTCACTTGGATGGATGGGATAATCCGTTTTACAAACAGCACTCAAGTCCAGTGCCGGTGCAAGCGCGGGATAGCCGACCTTCCAAGCACTGTCAATTGCTTCCCCCGCTGTCGCCCTTGCCATCTAACGGTGAACAAAGGGTAGATACGACATGGACGAGGTCGTATCTACCCTTTGTTCACCGTTAGATCCCAGCCTTCGACGTCCGCTTGCTGCATCCGCTGGCACAAGTGGTGCCGTGCGAAACGTGGGTCACCCAGCACCACGAGAACCCGATCATCACAGCCACACGTTTGTTGCCCTACAAGAAAAACCCCGTACGCCCCGCGCGTGCTTTTACGGGCCATCCAGCTCTTGGCTCGGTATGGAACATTTCCTATAACGTCATCCGAGTGACGTTATCCATATCGGGGAGGTGTCGGGACAAGTGTCCCGCGTACGTTGTCGAAGTTGTGGGGGTCGCAAAAGGAGTCGTCGAGCGACCGATGGACATAATGCCCTTGGCCGAGTCCATGGACTGCGGCGACTTGCGCGGCATCCTCGACACCAACCGCGCCGACAGCAGCCTTCACTGGAGCCACAAACTGCAATGTGCCGTCCACATTGCCCATGGTGTGTCCCATTTGCATGCTCGGACCATCGTCAACGCCAACCTGACTTCGTTCAACGTGTAGGTGGATTCTGTCAAAGGGGCCAAGCTCTCGGAACTCCATGGCGAGCTCCACAGAGTTTGAACTGACGAGCACACTGCAATTCCGCAGGTCGAGGGGCTCCACCCTCAACACGCGGACTGCCAGTGTCGGGTCGTTTCGGTGGGTCGCCCCGGAGGTCATGCGTGGGGATCAAGTCGCTCCTGCCGCGGACGTGTACTGGGTGAGCGTGATTCTCGCCGAGCTCGACACGAATGCATCCCGTTTGCGAGTGTATTTGCAGGGGGACGGCTGTGGAAGGCCTCCCAAGAGTCGTGACCGCAAGACGACTACGGGATGACGAAGCAAACAAGGTTTTGCTGGCCAAGATTGTCGCGGACGAGGCACGCCCCGCTCCCTCGATGACCTGTCCATCATGCTTCCTCCAGCTCGCCACGAGGTGCTTGGCCACAGACCCGATTGCGCGCCCCACGGCGTGCGAACCGATTTCAGCGGCAGCTCGGCATGGCACCACTCGTGTAAGACCACTTGAACCGTGGCTCAATCACTGCGGGGAATGCTCCAAAGGCAAAGCTGGGAAGGCGTTGTTTGTGTGGCTATGAAGTGAAAACTTGTCCGTGTAATTCATGTATCATGACGCCAGCGAATTTGCGCGAGTCCATCGCCCCATGGAGCCCCTTCGTTCGTGCCGCTCGCGCTGTAGTGCGGATAGCCGGCGGCGTGTCAGCCGACCATGGAGCTCTATTAACACTTGAAGCGCTGATGTGCTTGGTGATATTTGGATATTTTAAAAAGAGATGTCAGATATTTCAAAATCCAAAGAAATTAAATAGATAGAAAATATTTGTGTTGCCCTTATATTTGTATGTGAAATTAAAATTCCGAAATAAAAGCGATTTCGCGGGCTCTGATTGGTTCAAAGGCATGTCAAACGTGAATCTTGGCACGGTCATCGACGGAATGCCGCTGGAGCGGCTGACGCAGGACCTCGTGGTCGAGATCGCGCGGGAGTTTCCGACGCTGAGTAACCTGAATCTCTCCAAGAATGCCATCCGCGAAATGGACTGCGATTTTTCCATGCTCCGCTTTGTCACCCGCCTCAACTTGAGCCACAACCAACTCGACGACCTCCCATCGACCTTGCACGACCATCTGCCGCAGCTCACCCAGCTCCTTCTTGCACACAACAACTTGTACGTTTGCTTTCAATTGCCTTAATGGACGCTTCTTGTGACGTAGCACGTCCCTTCGTTCCTTCAAGTTGCTTAAAACCCTCACCCTTCTTGACCTGTCAAACAACTGCGTTCAACACGTCGACCAACTCGACTACTTGAAGGCGCTCCCTTTGCTCACCGATCTATGCCTACGCGTACGCAATGATTATGTATTCTTGGTCGATTTTGATCGTTGTGTCGAGCAGGGCAACCCGAAACTGGACCAGCTCGACAATCGACGACTTCAAATTCTGCAGCGATTGCCACAGCTCCAAACCCTCGACCAGGAGTTCGTCCATCATCTTAACAAAATAGGTTCATTAAGTTTGTGAAGCTTAGGCCAGTATTGCCCCACGAGCGCGAAAAGGCAAGGCGCCTTGGATTGGCGATGACATCGGTCCGCCCATCACTACCTCGTACACCAACCATCCCGACGTTGAGAGCGCCGCTCGCAATTCAGTTGACCAGCCAGTCCTCACCTCAACCTCCCTTCCCGACAGCTTCGACTCACATACCCGAACTGCAGCAGGTCCATCAGATGGACCAATCAATAAAACCGCCGCTGGAATTCCCGACGCTCTCCAACGCATCAAAACAAGTCGAGCTCATGCAACATCGCATTGACGCTTTGCAAGAGATTATTACTTTACAAGAAGCCGAGCTCGCCAACGCGGTAGCGTTGTCGCTGGGCCAGCGCCAAGCTGGGCCATCGATGTCGTCGCCATCAGGGACCATGCCTGCTGTGGCATACCAAAAACTGCTGTCAAAGTGGCGATCGAAAGTGTTTGAGCTAGTTGTGGCCGTGAAAAACCGAGAGTTGGCCGCTCAAGCTCAAATACACCAAGCTGGTCGATCTGTCAAGGCCATGGAGGTTGATGTTCACGTTGAATCCATTACATCTCTGACTTCTCGTGCAGGGTCAAGTGAGCGACCAGATCAAGCACGGGCAAAAGCTCACGCAGCGCCTCGCAGACGCAGACGCGGCAGCTCAATTGCTCCAATTGCAACTGGAGCAACTGCATGCCGATCGTACAGCGCTGCAGGCCAAATGCCAACGGCACGTGCATTGCCTCGAAGGGGAACGACATCTCTTCCGCCAGATGGCGCATTCTGTTGTTGCTGCCGTTCAGGTACTGCTGCCGCTGCGACGCCGGACAAATCGAAACGAGGACGTGGCTGCTTTTGTCTTTTCAACCCGTTCGTGCTGATGGTCGTGTGGCAGGACGAAGGCATGGGGCACCGACTGCAACAAATGTATTCCACCGTGACTCGCCACGAGCAACGGCTCCGACGGCAAGTGCAGCATGCCGAGATGCTCGTCGTGTCGTTAGCTCGAAAGGAAGCTCGTCTTCGAAACCAAGAAGCAGCGTTGGAAGGAGAGCGCCGGGTATGGATCAAGCGGCTCCAAGGAGCGTCCACAGTCACGTTGAACCCGAGCCAAAATCCGCTTGCACCACACCACGACAGGTCTCGGCCGTCCAGTCCATCCAAGTCGACGAAAACGAAACTATTCAAGCTCAAGCCCGAGTCCGAGGAAGTCCTCCGCGCTGTCTTTCACCGGCTCGACCCATACCAAACGGGACTCGTCGACAGCGCCCGGTTCCTCGCCGCCCTGCAGTACGTTCTGTGTTGCGCTGACCATGCTTAAAGTCGCGACGGTAACGTGCCGCGTGTGGTAGAAAAGACTGGACCGTGCGCCAAGCGATTGGCGCGGCAGGCGTGGAAAGGTTACTGGCGGCGATTGAAGCGAGCAAGCTGTTTGGAAACACAAAGCACGTCACGTGGGGTGAATTCGTGCTGCTGTTTTTGCCCGACTTGTCCGGGCCAAGGGATGCCGGAGGAGGGGAGGAGGATGCATCGGTGGCTGAAGGACCCGACGGAGTGCCTCTGCCGTTCCAAGACAAACCATTGCCCAAGGCCGTCGTCGCGACCCCTCGTCATCTTGACGAATGGACCCACGACGAGCTCAAGTGCCACGTCGTGCATTTGGAGCAGCAGCGAGCGGTCTTGATGGCGCGCATCAAGGTACGAGATCGTTCGGGTGATGAAAATGGGCCATCTAAATACATTGCTGGCGGTGTTGTTGGTCTCCGTCAGCATCCCAGACCCAGGTTGCAAACCGAATTTCACCGTGGGTTGTTTTGAACAGGAAGACGCGAACGAGCTGCAGCATCGCGTGCGCGGCGTGCAGCAGCAGTGGCAAGGCAAGTGCGATGCCCACGTACAAAACCTCGCGACACTTCAGGTCCGACGTCCTCGAGTCGAGTGCATGGAGGCATCTAAAAGCCCGTCAGGACGCCATGCGAGAGTTGGAGCGCACGCTGGCGCTTCAACAGACCGCCTACGCACAGCTGGAAGCGCAACTCGTGGACCTCCGAGCGCAAAATGCGGCGGCTGAAGGCACGTGGCGAGCTCAACGTCGCGAACTGGAACTGCAACTCGACGGTATGGCCCGGGACCACGACAAGGCGATGTTGGAGCTGAACGAATCGCACTCGATGGCACTACAGGTCGATTTACCACGCATGTCTATCGTCGAAACAACGGATCATGTTGTAGGAGGCGGCCCAACAAGTGCGGCATGCGCAAAAGGACGTAGCCAAGCAAGACGTGTACGTGAGACAGCTGGAACGCCATGTCAAGCGCCTCCAGGACACAGCTGCAGCAGAAGACAAGCAAGCGCAGCACGCGTGGACGCGTCAGGTGGAAAAAAGGTTTGCATCGCTTTCGCCGTCGAGCGCATCGATGCACAATTTGGTCGAATAGGGATGTCGAAATCGCAAAATTACGGCGCGAACGGAATGCGCTGCTCACGACCGTTCGAGAACAGGTTCGTTGTGCAAGCAGTTGGACGGGACGGTCGCTATGAAAATTCTGGGCACATTCGTCTGGCGTGGCAAACGAATGCCGACTAACTCGCCATCGCAGGAAAAAAGACCGGCGCCCGACGTGGTGGACCAAGCAACGGCCACGGACGGCTTGTCGCCGCCCACCGTCTCAACTGGAGTGCAAACTCAAACCGAGTCGCACCTCCGACACGTCGTGGCGAGTTTGGCTGAACCGCAGAGGAAGCTTCCCGACCAGCCGGGCGTGGGGATGCCAGCTCCGACGATTATTCCAACCGTGCCGCCCTCGCTCAGCCATCGCATGTCAGCTCTATCGTCTCAAGCGAAGCAATGGCTCACTGACGACGACGACTGGGGTAGTGACGAGGGGTAAAGCCATCGAAAGTTGGCAAACATTGTCACGTTTCGCACGCTTTTGTGACCATCCATTTTTCTTTTCTCATCCAACGAGACTCGTAAAGGGAATGCGCAAGAGGTCGATTGTCCCCCATGGCAATGCGGTGCAACATTGCAACCACGCTAGTCGTCGGCATCTGCGCCTTCGTCGTTGGTGTCGTCGCCACCATCGTCCTCCGCAGCATTGTCCCGTTCATTTCCGTCGCCATCGCCACTGTCACCGTCGCTGTGTGCCCCTGGGGTCTCTTCCATCGTGGGTGTGGCGGTTGCCGCGTTGGGGCTCGAGCCATCATCGTCTGCGACCGAAAGGTTCTGAATGATTTCTTGAAGGCGTGCGTCCAGCGCCGCTTTGGGCATTCGATTTTGGACAAGGAACGCCGTGTCTTCGAGGGCAAGCTTGCCCAAGACGGGCGAAATCAAGCGGTCCGCGTCGCCGATCTCGTCGGGCACTGCTTTCTGAACGAGCAACTGCTGGCCCAAGTACAACTTGGTCACGTCTTGGATGCGATTCCACTCGCGAATCGATGCGACACTGGTGCGGTACTGCAGCGAAATCGATCGAAGGGTGTCACCCGGGCCTAGACAGCACGCGCCCGTCAAATCGTGGCGCTCTGCACTCGACATGCCAACGACGATCAGCCGCCACGTACCGAGAATGTGGAAGCGGTTGCTGCAGAGCGAGCTACCATCCCGTGTGTGCCACCGCCACTGCCGAATACTGCCGTCGTCGGAAACGCTGACAAGGTGGAGCCGGTCGACTTGCAAGTCGAGCACTTTGCTTTGATGGCCGTGCAGGGTTTGCAGGAGCACACCGCTGACCAAGTCGGAGATACAAATCGTGCCGTCCGTCGCCCCCGTTACGACACGAAGCGAGTCGAACGACAAGCACGTAATGGCGCAGTTGTGCACGTGCATGTGGCGCCGCATCGCACCCGTATCGCCGTCCCACACCACCACATTCCCGCCATGATCGCCACTCACAACCTCGTTTGCAGCAAAATGAACGCACGACACTGGATGCACGTGGCCTTGTTTCCTTACCAAACCAAGTCAGCGTCGCTGAATCAAGTACAAGACGGAGGGTTACCAGGTTGGTCCTTCTCGCGTCGGCCGCAGCCGCACGCCACGTGTATATCGCACCGTTCTTCGCGCTGGGAGAATCCCCGGCGAAGGCAGTGCTCGTTCGGTCGTCGCGGCGTGGTGCGAATCCTGGACGTGCCAAGCCCGCAGCTCGTTGTCGGCGCCCGCCGAATACAACACGTTCAAATCCATCGCGAGAAACGTGACTGTCCGAAAATGAGCCGATGGAATCGCAACGAGTCGCTCGTACGATTTGGCATCGTGGATCTAGCATCAACAACGCATGCATTGCGTGAGTGGCCAGCAGCGTCGATCCATCCAAAACGCGTCGAGTACCATGATGCAGCAGTCGGCTGTCCCGGCAACGAGGTATTGCATGGTGGCGGTGATGGCCATGATTGCCGCGTCGAAATCTGTTACACGATGGCGCAGCACGGGCAAGTTGTCCTCGAGCTGCCACACCAAAAGTGTGCAGTCCATGCTGCCCGTGTACACAAACGAGTGAAACGAAAACAGCGTCATGATGGTCTTTGTGTGGCCGTGGGGGGGTCCCAAATGGCGCTGGTCGCCCCCGACATCGCCGACCCCTTGGCCCATGCAAACCTATCGCGAGTTCCAGTGGAGACGAGACGGAGCTACGATCGCCCGTCGTACCCCCGTCAAAAAGTCGTACACGATCAAAGTCGGGCCAACGGACGCAACGGCCGTGTCGACGCCACCACTGGCATGCCCCAACACGTTCTTGTACATGGCATTCACTGCGTTGAATCGAAAACACCGCAGCGGGTCCTTTCCCCGAACTCGGCGCATCAGCGGCCCCGTCTCCGCCTTGAGTTCTTCTTCGCACTACGACTCGTCACGTTGAGAGAGCGTGTCGTTTGGTTTATCCATTCGATACCTCTTGGATGCGATCGTTCAAGTTGGAGATGCGGATCGCCGAGTTGCTGCGCTCCCGGTCGATAGCGAGCTGGAGGACGTCCAGCTGGCGCAAGAATTTGGCCACGTTTGCCTGGAATTCGTCCACAGTGTACCGCGTCGACAGGCCCAAAAACACGGCCGAGTCGACAAACGCCGAGTCGCTGACTTGGCTTGTCTTGAGGTCCGCCTCGGCCTGCTTGTGGATCGCTTTCTTTTCGTCGAGCATTATCTCCAACGCGTGCAGAACCTTCTCCTCCTCCATGATGGACACTTTGCAATGCAGCCGCTCTTGGCGAAGCCGCGGCACGATTGCGCCGACGCGCTCGCATTGCCGTTCCACCGACAGCTTGACCGTGACCCCAATCAGTCGCGAATGAAGCTCGGCCAGCGTGTTCTCGATGTGGTCCATTTTCTGGTCGAGGACGTGCTCGAGGCTGTCCGCCTTGACGCTGGCTTCGGTGGCTAGGTCTCCCGCATCCATCTCTCGATAGCATGCTGCAATGCCTCGCCACGATGCGACTTCGCCGCCCACGTCGCTCACATCCTCGTATGCCCCCGCGGCTTTCAAGTACAAGTCGAGCGCTGCGGGCCATTCTCGTTTGGCCAGGTGGCAGTCGGCGAGCCCGCGCCATGCCACTGCGCTTTCCGCCGGGTTGCCCACACTCGTCGCCACGATGCTCGCCCGCTCAAACGCGTTGGCCGCGCGGTCGTAGTTCCGTAGCATGAAGTGCGCTCGGCCCAACCGATTGTACACTAGGCTGAGCTGGATCTACCACCACAGAGAGTGAGTGGATGGCAGTCGATCGGTGCCGACGGACGGCTCGACTGAAAGCTCCAATGCACCTGGATGGGGTCTTGAGCATCAATGGTAGTGGCAGCTTTGGACGGCATTGCGGTAAGGTTGTCCAGCAAGGCTTCGTACGTGGTGACGGCAGCCTCGACATTGCCAACATCCAAGTGGGCATCGCCTTCGTCGCGTAGAGATTCTTGGATCTACTTGAAATGGATGGTCACAACCACAACGGAAACGATGGATGGCGTAAAATGCACATGCACTTTTGACGCGGTGACGAGAAGCGCGGCGACGAGTCGATGGGGGATGTTTTCGGGACTGATGGGCCCATCGCCACCGTCATCCAAAGGACGTCATGCGACTTCCGACACAGCACAGCCATCACACGATCGCCACAGGACGAAGCCGACATGATCGAGGCGCAGCATCCACTGAATCATACCTTGGATTCGACCCCGCGGAGGAGCTGCGCCTTGCGTTCTTTTGCAAACACATTGGATCGCTTCCGTTCGTTTTGGCTGGTCGTGTGGCTGGTCGTTTGCAGCGTCGACGATAGCTCGCGGCACTCGTGCAGCGCCGAGTACAAGTCGCTCTGGAGGTGGGTGCGAGCAGCATGCACGCCCTTGAGTTCGACACCGCCTTTGCCGATGATGTCGATGCCAACAACGTCGAGATCACGCAGCCGTGCGACGCAAGCTTGCCAATGCTTCCACGCAGATGAGACTTTGACATGGACGAGGCGAGTTAGGGCGCGGGTCATCACAGCACGATCGACTCGCCGCCGTCGGCAGTGTCGCCGCCATGTGTCAAAACAGTAGCTCAAGTGCCTTGCTTTGAACTTGACGACGACAGTCGCACCCCGCGCAGCTTTGAACTGGTCGAGCTCGCATTCCGTCTCGAACGAGTCGAGCGCCGACTGGCGAGTCACAATTTGTGCTCGTTTCGTGGCCAGCATCGCCATGTCTGCTTTCTTTTGGTCCTCCACGGCGCGCAAGTCGGCCTTGGTGTCGACGATGTAGTATCGCTCAATATCAAGCTCTTCCTCCAGCGCCGTGATCAAAGCGGGCGTGTAGAAGCGCTGGAGGCCGCCTGCAACCACACGAACGGCCATGAGTTGTGCAAAGCCAAGGCGTCAGCAGGTTCCAGAGCGGAGGAAGTGGTACCGTGCATGGCCAGCGAGTCCATCGCGGGTCCCTTGAACTCTCGGGCGCGCTCCAACTCGGCCTGTTTGTCCATGATGCGGCGTTCCGCGGCTTCCACCATCGAGACCAGCACGGTGCACCGCTCGTCAGCCCACGCAATGTTGTACTCGAGCGTATCGACATGCGTGTGCAGCTGGTGGAGGCGGTAGCGGAACTGCTTGCGGCGGACGGCCTGCAGCGCAAGGCGCTTTTGATTTTCCGCTTCCATGATGTCAACTGCGGATTTTGGTTTCAAAGTCAACTGCGGCGTGGACGACAGGCTTGCCGAGCCAAATGCCTCTGGCGCCGACGAAGACGACTCTGCGTCCGAGCCTGACGTGTCCGAGTCCTCCGAGGAGTCGCTCTCCACGGGCAGCATCGCGTCGACGCGTCCACTCAGAGACGGATGGTGCAGCCTGATCGTGTCGGCCACCAGCTGAATGTAGTGTTTTCGATCGTAGCGCTGGACAAATCCGTTGTAAAACGCCGAGTCGATGGTCGTCGCCGTGCTGTTGATAGCTTCTTGGAGCTCCGCCACGAGCTCGTACTCCTTTCCATGGACTACACGTCAACGACAGATGAGCGAGCTGGTCCAGCTGGCACGAGTAGTCGCCATCCTCTCAACGACAGGACGGCTTGGAGCGACTCGATCGAGCGCTCCAACGGGCACAAGGGAAACGACATGTGTACCTAACGTGCGAACAGGGGGCAATTCAGGCGTGGTGTCTCCGATCACACCCGAGACAGACACGGCGCACACCCGCCACCGCGAGTACGACTGGCCGCTTCGTAGGCCATCGATCGTGCAGCGGACGTAGTGTGCGTCGGCATCGTCGCTCTGGATGCGGTCGGTCGAGTAGTCGCTCAAGTTGACCAGCGGTCGGTCCGGCGCCTTCACACGGCGAGTAAAATCCTTTAGCTCTGCTGCACGCATGTCGATGGAATTCGTGCCGTCGTGGACTTGAACATATCCCGAAAACGACACGATGTACTCGTCGATGGGCTCGCCGCCCATGTCGAACGGGGGCAGCCAGCTCAGCGCAATCGAATCCACCGTGACGAGGCCCACCGACAGGAAAAGCGGGCGGGATGGGGCCACCGGATCTATACAACAAGCGTACATCCACCACGGCGTAGTCAGAGTGCTGCATCCAAGGCACTCGCGCACAATTCCAGTTTCGACCAGATCACCATGGCGACGTCTCGTTGGGCATTCAATGGAGCGAATAATGGGCCGTACCTGTGGTGCTGACGTCTTCGTCGTTGCAATCGGTCCAGCCACTCCATCCGTTTAGCGTTTTGCATCGAACCGCCATGCGGCCAAATGTGGATTTGGCGGGGAGGCGGTCGACGGTGTAGCCGTGCATGGCGACAGGGTGATGATGCAAAGCCCACCGCGATGTCGAGACGACGGGCAGTGGGTGGAACGTGCGTTCGTGCTGGCGGTGTTGAAGCCGCTGAAACCTTTCGATGACGAGAACATGCAACTGAATTTGGAAATCGACGACGGCCAGGTCAGCCGTAAACGTGGGCGGGTTCCATGCGAACGAGATGGAACTGTGGGTGGTCCGCACGACGCGGAACGCGGTCGGGGGCTCTGGCGGCTGCCCCTTTAAGGCGTACGCAGGGCTTGCCCAAATCACTGCGTGGCGGTCGTGGTCGCGCTGGCACGAATCCATGTGATATGCCAAACGATCTCCCTTGATTGCGCGATGGCACAACTTGCAACGAAGCATCGATAAAGGCAACTCGCGAACGACAATCCCTCGGCAGAACGGCTCGTGCATGTTGAGGAGGGCGGAGGTTGCGAGAACTTTGCCACAAGTTGGACAGGATTCCTGTGGAAGGAACGCCGTGAGCTTGGCGCCCACTTCTTGCTTCACTTTTTCCTGAGCCGGGGGCTGGGTGAACTAATGGGGCAAAACACTCATGGTCAGCGACATGTTCGCGGAAGGACACAGAGTGGAGCATTTACTACACGCACCACTGGGGATTTTGCGTTGATTTGCTGCATGAACTCAACGCGGCGCGCGAGGTCCTCCAGCGTGGACGTGTTGTTTCGGACGCTGCGTGTCGAGTGTCGAAGGCTCTGATTCAAGTACCTGCATCCATCGTCGACTCATGTTTTCGATGAAGCCTCGACGCACCTGAACGATTCCGCCAGCTCAAAGTGGGTACGCGTGTGTGCGTCGATCATACGCGCCTTCACGTCATGCTCGACCAGTGCCATGCGGACGTCCAAAGCGTCCTTTTTTGCTTGCTTCACCAGTGGCAGATTCGCAACGTCCGCCTTGGTCTTGGTTCGTCGGTTGAACAGCCTGCGACGCAGTTCGGCAGCTTTGGCGCCCACGCCGTGAATCACGTCATCTCGTCGTTGTAGAAAGACTTTCTTCTTCTTTCGATTGCGAAGCTTCTCTGGGTCGACATCGATCTCCATCTTGACCTCGTCCGCCGTCGCCATCGACGTCGGTTACACAGATGCCATTATCCGGATAAGGGCGGATGTCCGGATGTCTGTCATCAAATAGTGTGTGAGACGTTCATTTCGTTGTGTTATGGAGATGCACCATTAATAGTGTGAATTGCAGAAATAGTGTGCATTGGATCATACAATTTCCGAGCGGTGGCCGTACTTTCGTTCGTATTGATCTCGTGGCGGCGATGGCGACGCAACGTGCTCGTGTGCTTGGTCTGTACCGAGATATCCTGCGACTGCACCGGCAGAAGCTTGAGCCTGTGATGCGTGTTCTGGGCGATCGGTACGTCCGCGACGAGTTCAAACTGCACAAGACCGCCAAACCAGAGTTTATCAAGGGATTCCTCACCGAATGGGAAAACTACCGCACCATGTTGCAGGAGCGACAGACGCATTTTGGGCAAGACCTGAGCGCCGAAACACGCAAACTCCTTGACGACGAACAAAAGAAGAAGCTCCAGGACCTGCATGCCGCCGCCACCAAGCCCACCAACTCCACATGAGATATACTGCATGCATTCAAAGCCATCCATGAACAAGTTGTGCTCCTTCGTGGGGTACGTTGTATCATACTCTATTACTCAACAATGTGCTGTGCTGGCTGGTCAAACCAGCTGTGTATCGCGCGGAAAAGTGTCGGCAACTTCACGTCGAGGAGATCCGCCGCCACTTCCTCCAAACGCCCGAGATCGGGCAACATTGCGTCCGACACCACGGCATCAACTTCGCGCACTTGCTCCAGGAGCTCTACAGCCACACAATCATCGTCACCGATTCCCGTATTGCGACGAGTCCTTTTACCTTCCCAGGACAGGACCGCAAAGCACGGCGACGTTTGGAGGAATCCGTCGAATTCAGCTTTGGCCGCTTCCAGCTTGAGAACACTGCAGCGCGATTCGGGATGAGCCATGATTGCACAGCAATTCTCGATAGTCAAGATTCACTCGCACCTGGTTTCGATTCGCTGCAATGCACTGTTCAACTTGGTGGTGGATGCCCTTCGTCTCCTCAACTCAAACTGCTGCGGCAATTCGGCGAGTTCAGACCACTTTGCTACTTCACGCTTCATCGCATCAGCCAGCGCGGCTTCCGTCTCTTCGCGCAAGCCCTTTGCAAACCCACATCAACCTCGAACGATTCCAATCTGCTTCCCCAAACTGACCTGGAAGGCATCCACGAGCTCAGTCTGCACGTACACGAGCAGTTTGTTTTGCAGATCAAGGATATCCACGACAAGCGCGCGGTTGGTACGAAAGGCGGCGGCCACGTTCTTGTGGCATTGATCCAGGCGGGACTCGAACGAAGCAATGGCTGCAAGGTGCTCGGCGGTCGTGGCGGCCGCCGCATCCATCGCTTGCAGCTCCTGGGCGAGGGATTCCCCGTACGATTGCAGGAATTCGAGTTGTCGTGCCGTTGCTGGGGTTGCTGACACCGTGGATGTTATCGGGGGCGATGCCTGCGCCACGTAGTGAGGGCAGCATGCATCCGATGTGGCGACGAAGGAATGATCACCTGACGCAATCGCTCGCACGCGTTTTGTCGCGCGGCCAACTCGACGTAAAGCAGCTCCATGTGGCGCTGGATCTGGGACTCAATATCGTGCAGAGGGCGTCGGGGTCGGTATGGAGTTAGCTCGGGAAGGCGGGTGTTGGCGGCTGCGGACGTGTTGTCGGCATGCCATGCCAGAAGTGCATCCAGCAGAACTTGGCCGGGGACTTGGAGCGCTTCCTAAAAAGTCGTTCTTACAAACATGCCTGAGTTTCGCGGGTGACGGGCATCTCACTTGGACGGTGGCATGTGTAGCGAGGGATGGCGGCATCAGTTGTCTGGGAGACGAAGGGCGCGGCCATCGTTGGCGTCCCGGAGGAGGACGCGAATGCCTGAGCAAATGCTCCAAATGATGCAGAGTCTTCTGGACGACTCGTCGTCCAGACAGTTCGGCGGATGATGGTGGTCGGAGCGACGTAAGGAGCTCGTGCATGACGCCCTCGCGCTCTTGATGGCGATACTGAGCCTGCAGTGCATACGTGTCATGGAGAAGTGCGTGGATGGGCGGATCGGTCGCCAGCGCCATGGCTTGTTCAGCGAAAGAGATTTTCGCGATCAATTGTTTCTTGTCGGTCTGTAACTTGGCAATATCGCTCTGAAGCTGTCGCTTCTTCTCCGCGAGCGCTGCCACCCGTCGCTGTTTATGAGCAAGGATGTCCCTAGCAAAGTATACACGTCATGAAAACGCCGCCAAGTACAATTTGCCTCGACGTACGGTGATGTCGGCGCTTGACTTGCGACGTGCAGGTTTCTCCGGAGCAGGTCGATGGCATCCGTGGCCTTAACGTTGTGTTGAACCCACGTCCAGACGCCATCCAACGCGCCGCCTTGCATTAACGTCTCCACATCTTCAGGCCGCAGCTTGCCCGTCTTGGCATATCGGCCTTGAGGGACGTAGCCTATCTGACCCACGTCGGCCAGGAAGCCATCAAGGTGATAAGCCTTGGACATCGTTTGGGAATTTCAAGGAATACATCGATTTCATTGGTTCGAATTCTCATATTTATCCAATCATATCGTCATATTTTGAAACGCATCGCAGAAACAGACGCGATCTTCTGCCCGTCGGTCCTCCTGGTAAGCCGTCGCCACGGGCAAGCACAGCACGGCTCTTGCTCCGAGAAGATGCCACCATCACGTCCTTTTGTTGGCTGCCTTGCGCGGTTCATGGCCATCGCTGGTTATCACACAGCCAGCAGCGTCAACGTAGGCATCGACCCCACTTGTGTGTGCCACATGCATACACACACAACCATCATCACGAGCATGAAGGCTGTCAATCACCGCCACAGTCGCCCTCAGTGTAGTTAAAACCCTTTCCATCCATTTTTCATGGCGATTGCATAGCGATTGTGCCAGTCTTTGCATCCGTACTCGTCGACACAAGGGTTGCCTTCAATGCAGCTGCAGCTTTCAAAGCCCCTGCCGTCATCTTTCTTGTCGGCCTTGGACGGCTGCGCGCCGTCCATCGTGGCAGCAATCGCGCGCATCTTCGCTTGGTCTTGCGCGAGCTGCTCCGCTTCTTGCTCGATGTATACGTAGTAAGTCTTGCCCGACTCCAGACCATGGAACGTTCCGGCTGGATCTTCGAGCACGTACACGCTGTTTGTGGCTGATTGACTCTCTTTCGCGACCTTTGTCGGCGGGTCCCATTCGGATAGGTGGATGCGACAATGGGGCATGACAAAGCTCAAGCAATACGCTTCGTCGACGACCGTGGCAGTCGTGCTTCCGTTGGCAATTTCAAACTGTTCGCTGTACATTTCGTACTTGAGGACGACGTGGCCATTTTGCCGCTTTGCCAACTCCGCCGCCTCTGCACGAAGTCGCTCTTCCTCCTGTGCCGCGACGTTCCTTTCTCCCTGCGCTGCTGTGTTCGCAGGAGTTGAAAATTCGTCCGTTGTTATGAAGGGGACATCGATGGGTCCATCCAGAGTTGCGATGGCCGCATTGGCAGCCTCGCCGTCAGCAGGGGTGTCGACAGCGGAATCGTTGGTGCGCTGAACGGAGGGGGGTCGAGCATCGATGCTCGGCATCTTGTCGGCACTGAAGGCCTTTGCATGGGCGCCACCTGTTCACACCATTCGTCAGCATGCGAGGTAGAATCACAGACAGGGAATGGAATTGCCTGTCGGAGTTGATTGCTTCGACGGACTCTTGGGCGACGAAATTTTAGGAAGGGAAGGCGATGGCGACGACGTCGAAGCAAGTTGCTTTCCTTTGGACGAGGTGGTTGCTGGCGTCCCTTTGTTGGGGGGCGAAGGTTTTGGGCCCTTGTTTGGCGGCGTCGGTGTCGGCTTGGGGCCCATCAAGCTATAAATACCCTGTGTTGCAACATACAACTCATGTCATGAGCAGCCACCTGGGGGATTCAACGACTGAAGCCAAAACAGTTAGAACGAACCACGTTAGCCATGTCTATCCTAAGGGTCGAGAATTGTTGCGCGCCATGTGAATCACACTAGTAGCGAGGCCAGTCCACTGCCATAGTTACCTCGCTGACTGTGGGGAGGGCCACGGACAGTAGAGAAATCACTCGCGCATGGCGCGCACCGAAGCGATGTCGTGGTGCCTGGCTTGGCGCGTTCCTGGGGGAGCCAGAACGATCAAGTGCCGTTGGCGAGATCACGGTGGGGAGCAGTCGAAATGTGGGCGATCGGGGCCATCTTGCCAAGGCATTGGAACATTAGTTCACGAGATCGCCTCTACCCCAGCAACCGCCTAGACTTGTGCAGCCCATCCACACTTTGTTGAGATTAACACAAAGCGACATGTAGTCGTCACGTTGACATAGTTGGTAAGTCATTTAAAGACGCTGGGCAATGGATTCAGGTGGTATCGTTGGCAGTCGGTGAAAACCTGATTGAAAGCGGAACTTGCGACGTAGTTGCCATGGGCGATGAGCCGCCAGGTATAGGCAATGAAGGAATTGACGGTGGCTAGCTACAGGACGAAGAGGAGCTCAAAGTCCCAGTCGAAGGAATCCTTGCAAACCACGACCTCTGTCGCAGGGCATGGACGACTACGTCTAGATGCATGCAGTGGCCTAGGAATCGACGAGAGCCCCATGGCGCCGGCACGTGAGCGACTTAAGCCACGCCAGCGCTTCCCGAAACGCGGAGGCGCACAAATCGCGTAGAAATGTCGTACGTGTCAGCGCAATAGCTCTCGACAACGTTCAAAAACTCGCTTGCCGAGGCCGCATACTTCGCACGCTCGGTACACTCGTGCTCGTTGCCAAGTCGAGCGCGTCCGTGGTGCATCCCACGCGCGGGTGGTGTGGGTGGAGGAATATGGGCAATGACCGGCATGATCAAACCAGCGTTGACGAGACTCACGTGGCCCGCCTGGAGAATGTCGTTTGCGCCTGTCCTGTCCTTGGCGGTCTTGCCTCGCATGAAGATCGTGATGGCTAGGAATGCCCCCCGCTGTCGTCAACTGGAGCAGCCGTCAGGCGTGGTCGAGTTGCGGTTGCAAGAAGCACGTTTGAGAACGAATCCACTGGCCATGGGGTATGCTGCCCTCCTGGCTGTTTGGACAACTCAGCGCCGAGAAGGGTCGCGCGAGCTGCACCGATCGATCTGTTGCCGTCGAATTGTTTGTGGCTGCGCAACGGAACAATCCATCGGCGGCCTCTGTTGGTGGCGCAACCACTTACAACAGTGGACTGTCGCCGCGAGCGGCGCCAGGTCCACAATCACTTTGGACCGAGTATCGCGGCTCGGCTGAGGGGCCAGGCATGCCAACATGCCTACGTGAGCAAAAACCCTCGCCACTGTGGAAGGCGCCACGATGCCACGGGCCATGACACGTTGAGCGACCAGCGAGTTCACATCGTCCATTCCTTCGTAGTCGATGGAGACTTCCATCCACATATTTCAACAATTCTGTGCGGATGCATGTGGTGATGGGGATGCCGCGAGACCGCACTGCCACGTCATGGTCGGTTTGTTTGAGCCAACGATCGAAATCAAATCCATCGCGCCCAACGTCACTCGCCATGTTTTCGAGTCCACTGCAGAGTGCCGTCGCCTTTCGGACGCCATCGGATCGTATACGTGCTTGGATGGTGGCGATGCGCGCTGTCCGCACGAATTTATCCACCCTAAGACAAATTTCTAGCACGGCCGTGGACGATTCAATGTATCATGTTTTGCCATCCGCCATGACCTTCCTGAAACACGCACTGATGCACCTGCCTCCATCACGATGCCAGCACGGAATGGATCTGCCGCGATCGAGACGTCCGCCCATGGCATCACCAGGAGCTCATCCTCATCGACGGTCGACATTGGGCCGGCCATCGTTACGCTCGTTGTTCGGATTAGTACACACGACGTCGTATCTGCCAAAACACTGGAATCCTTCCACTGCACTGGCGCCCGCCCATCGTCCACGTCGGGACGACCCGATGTGCAGTTGGCTCATTGCTTGAATCACACGGTGAGGCCATCTGCCGCCGCCAAGCTTTGGATCTCGACCTTGAGCGCTGCCAACGCCTCTTCCTTGGAGCAGTCTTGCGTGGGATGATACGATTGCCTGCATGAAACGGATCGACATCATGTCGTTGGTATGGGTCACAACGTACGAGCTCTGCAGTCGGGCGAAGCACTGGCCAACTTCGGCTCGAGTTGCTACACAAAGCAATCGCCGCGTTCGTTAGCCATGGCGACGTGGACCAAGGCAACCCCAGCGACAAAAGCTTACCTTCGCAATACGCTACGGCCGATTGATACTTGTTGGAGTTGCGCAGGGTCTGTGTCGAGTCGATGTCAGGGAGCGACAGAAACGAGCTGGCTCACATGCAACTCCTTCATGCGGTGCTGCAGGTCGTCGCAGTACGCGCCAAACAGAGGCTGGTCCAGCGGCTCGTGGAAATTCAACTTGAGCGGGCTCGTACACACGACAAACCAATCCTGCACGACGGTCAAAAACTCGATTCGAATCACACGTGGATCGACTTGACACCGGTGCTCGCACTCGATGATGGCGCGACGACTTACATGGGAGGCAGCTGTTTCAAATGCAGTGATCTGCTCTAGGAATGCGTCCTTGGCCATGGCCGTGCTAAGCGTTCACCGGCGACAGTGAGATGCCTGCCACACCGTTCAAGCAGTCATGGGTGGCGCATCATCGATCTCTCCCGTTCAAGAAGCTCCACGCAAGCCGACATCGTAGAGTTTTTCGATCACGTACCTGCAAAAGTCGCCCACATCGTCGTGTAGTCGCAGCACGTCCTTGATGAAGTCGTCGATGAGCTGTACGTCGCGGGCGGTGAGTGAACAGTCGGGGGTGACTTCTGCGTTGGCGCGGGTCAACGTGTGGCAAATTTGCCAGTGACGAGCCACCATCGAGTGCATGTGCTGCGTAAAGTGGCGAATCTCGTGTTGGATTTGTTTCTCCAGCTTGATCGGACTCGCCTGGAGCGCGTGCTTGTACTTGACCAAGCTCCGCTGGTACGCCGATTTCAGCTCGGCTTTGTGTTTCTTCATGTTCTGTGGCAAGTGGTTGGCAGCATGCACCTTTCGGAGGAGGGCGAACATGTCCTACACGAGCCACGACAGTCACGACGGGCAAGTTCAAAACAACGTGAGTGTGCACGCCGTCGGCGCTAAATTCGCAATGCGTGTTCAAATGGGCATCACCTCGCGCTTCTGGGACAGCAGTTGCAGCAGCGGCGCGTGGCGTTCGACTTCGACGAGAAATTCGGGCAATCGCGCATCCAGTTCTTGATACAGCGTCGTGAACACTTGCACTTTGCTCGCAAATTGATCTGGCAGTGAGTCAAAGAGAGGATGGTGGATGTTATCACGGAGGGGGACAGCGCCGCAAATTACACAAATACCTTGGTACTCGTTGTCGTAGAGCCGCAGGGCGTTCCACGGCTGCGGTCGTGGATCAAAGTTGTGCTTCTCTTGCTGCAGCACCTTGATGTACGTGACTAAGTGGTCATATCCTAAGAAGAGCGGAGTCGCTTGCGTTACGTAGTTGATCTTGTCATGAACGACGCTCAAGAACGGCAGCATCTGCGGCATTTTCTTTTGCGCGAGCGCCTCGAGGCTCTTCAGCTCGATTTGCGTGTGGTGGAACAAGCTCACGAAGCACGCCATGTGGTCGATGATCACATGTAGAGCAAAACGGTACTTCTCAGCCAGGCGCTGCTCGTACCGGCCCAAAACTTCGCCTTCCGTCGCCTCGGTCGCCATGGCGCTCGACCTGGGATTGCTCTTCGACCGATAAGTCGGATACATATCCGGATACGTATGTCGGAGAATGTCTCCGGATACGGCGTTGTAACGGCCGGAGCAGTTACCGGTTTGCCAGGCGCCTGGCCAGAGGCATCGCGGCACCCGTGCCATGGACGCGATGAAAGCGTCGGGGGTCGGCGTCGACTTCACGCAGCTGCAAAAGGAATATCGCAACATGGAGATGAACCGAAAGTCGTACTCGGACGAGTCGCACCAAGTGATGCGCCGGCAGCAGACTGTGATTGAAAAGCTCAAGCGGGACAACGAAGACATGAAGAACGAACTTGCGCTCGCGACGCGACACATTACCGAATCGAGCGCAACTGCGCAGCAGGAAAGCATCAACAGGATGCAGGACCAAATTGACACGTATGTCAAGAAGATCGCGGCCGAGACGAAGCACTCGGAGACGTTGGCGCAGCAGATCACGATCATGAAGCACAAGGTGCTGCACCAGAAGAAGCACATGGGTGGCGTGAATGCAGCCAAGGAGAATCACCACATGGTGAACAAGCAGATTCGAATCTTGGAGAATCGGCTGGACAAGTCACTCGTCAAGTTCAACGAAGCGCTGGCCCAAAACAAGATCCTACGCGAAGAAATCGACAACCTCCGGCGAGAGCGCATGATTTTCGACAACATTTACCGCAAGCTAGAAAAAGACCACAACGAGCGCAAGAAGCAGATGGCCAACATCATCGAGCTAAGCAACTTGAGCTACGAACAGCGCGACTCGGCCCAGGTTGGTCCTTTTCTCTCATCGTTGGCAAGGGAGAATTTCATTGCCGAACGCTGCTTCTCCTGGTGCTTTCGGTGCCATGCAAGGCAGCATGGGGGGCGTTGGCGATGCACGCGCCGTGGACGCAAGCGGCAGTGCCACCGCCCACGATACCTTCACTGCGCTTGATGGCATCCAATTCAGCTCTCCCGACGTGGCAAAACGGCTCACATAGCGGCCTTTTTTGTTGTAGATGGAAATTAAAGCTATCGAGCAAGTAAACCGACAAGAAGCCGAGGAACACCGTCGTCAGATTGGAGAGCTCCTGGACAAGATCGAAGAGTCCAAGCGGAGGGCCGACATGGCTCGGGAAGCACAGATTCGCGAGTCGCAACGACGAGAGAGCGCGGCGCACATGGGAGACGACGACAGCGGGACGCTCAAGCGCAAGCTCCAGCGGCAGCAATGGGGTGTGGCAAAGGACAAAGTTCACGTCCAGGTCAGTGTCGAACGTGTGCAAAACTACGAGGAAGTGTTTGCCAAGATCAAGGCCGCGACGGGTATCACGGACATTGAAGAGCTCGTCACGACCTTTATCAAGAACGAAGACCAGAACTTTTCCTTGTTCAATTACGTCAACGAGCAAACAAACGAGATCGAGAAACTGCAAGACCACATCGAGGTACGGCCTCGACGGTGGCGGCATGGACGACAACGATGGCGCTGTAGTCGCTCAAAGCGGAGGAGGCCAAGTACTCGGAAGACACTGGCGACGACGCGCACCAGCACAAGCAACTGCTCAAAGAGCTCGAGTCAAAGCTCACGGCGACCGAGCACGCAGCTGACAAGTACGAGGCCAAGTACAACGAAGCGCAGAAGAACATCAATGCGGTCAAGATCGCGATCCACGTCCTGTTTGCCAAGATCGGATGCAATGCCCAAGCAATGTGCGAAATGCTCGGCGACAACATCGTGACGGAAGTCAACATGATGCAGTACCTCGGCATGATCGAACAGCGCACAAACGAAATCCTCCATCTCTACGCGGCGTTCCAAAAGTCCCGCAACGCAAGCGTCGATGTCCCGATCGACGCGACGGCCGCCCTGCCGACAGCCCATGCCACTGGATCGACTGCGGCCACGGCACCTGGTACTGTTGCATTTGCCTTCGCGGACGTGGCTACACTCTATTCGAAGTGGGCGGTGCTGGTGTCAGCTCGGAAACATGGCGTGATGTGGAGTTGTGTTGGTCCGGTGCTTGCGTTGGGTGCTCGGCACTTGTTTGTCGGGTTGGCCTTGTGAGATTATTTTGCAGTGTTGGCTTTGACACGCATGGCGGCACGATGTCGAAGCGATTTTTGGTCGAGTTAGCATGTCGTGAATTCACGGAACCATTGTTTAGGCCATGGAGTTTCATCGCACCTCCTCCACGCGGTCTTGGGGATCGGCCCCACCGCGCCGATGGGCGGCGATCCGCTTCAGATCAACCCGCCAAACCTCGAAGACTACTCGTCCGACGAAGAGGAAAGCATCGAGCAGACAGATCAGATGCACCCGTTATCACGCGACGAACTCAAGCTCAAGACGCTCAAGGGGCTTCGTCGCATCAGCGCCAACCCGTCGGCTGCGTCGAAGTATGCTGCCTCTCCCAACAAAAAAAAAGGATAGCAAAAAACCCAAGTGGCGCTCTACGCATTCAACTCTTGTGTCCCAAGCGTATGCAGGGGTGATAGGGCGCGGTATGCAGCGCCAACAGTCTCGACGTCATCGTAGTCGTCGCGGTAAAAGAATAACTTGGAGTACGGGCGCCGAGGGTCGAGCGACTTAGCGCAGAACGGACAGATACTCTTGCCCGTCGTGGCAAGTCGGAGGGCGGCCGATTCTGCCGCAAGCGCCGCGTCAACCATGTGGCCACAAGGGTTGAAGACACAGTCGGGGACCTGTTCGTGGTCCAGTGTGCTGGTGAGTAAACGCTGGCCATGCCGAGTTGCCACGCGAAGTGGCACCAACGTACTGGGCGTGCGGCAGAGGGGGCATTGCTGTGTACTGGCCATGCGAGCATTGTACCCGCACACGTGCCCGCACGCAGGGTAAACGTGTGGCTGGAATGCACTGGGGATTCCGTCTTGTGGTGAAGGCTCGTGATGATGTCGCTTGGAGTGAATCGGTGGGTACGGTCCAAACTGCAGCGGGTGAAGGTGCACCGGACAGTGCACACGAAGCGACTCGAGGCGCAGAGCTAGCGACCCCGGGGGCGCATTGTTTGAACTGGGGTAGATAAACTTGACGTGGACACCGCCCAAGTCGAGAATGCATCCGTGGGTCAACACGGCTTCCATTGCGATAGGCGCGCCAGTCGGCCGCGCGAACGCTGCAGTGGACGATGACGACGACGCCGTCGAGACCGCATAGATCTGTCCATGCACAGACACCTCAACCCACGACTGGGTTTCAGGACGCCACAAGCGCACGCCGTTACGTGTCAATGCGTCGACAGGCTGGATCGAGTTGGTGAAGCCAAACGCCGTCACAGTGTTTTCGTGATTTGCGCCCAACACACGATTGGAGACTATCGTGGAAGCAATGCATTTGCAAGTTGACGACGAGGACGACCATCGCTGGCAGGATCGGCAGAACTTGGGGGCGTTCATGGGCACTGCAACGTGATGGTCGGTGTCAAATCCGCCGGCAAAGACGCGGCATGTGTAGGGTGGTGCACGGTCGCACATAATTCGCGCCGCAAAGCGAGACATCGTTCCCTTGTCGCCGTGTAGATGGCCAGGTACAACAAAGTCATTGTGGGGGGATGGCTGCCGGCCTAGCTGAAACAAGTCGAACATGGACGATTCCACCAACTCTGTCGCCACGGTCGTTGTGGCCGAGACAGGTATGCACACGAACTTGGTCGATTTGCCTGTGGCGAGCGCTTGTTGCAACCCATGCGTGAGCTCTCGTTTTTGAAGACGTGATTCGACGAAAACGACACGCTCAGGAACGAGCGCGTTGGGAGTGGAACGCCTGGTGAGGCAAAACCGGGTGTTTGGTGCCCCAACGGGAAGCCAGTGGCCTCTGGTGGCCGCCGCGCCTTGTCTCTTGTAGCTGCTGTACCCAAGAACAACGAGCTCGCCGTAGCGCACGGCAGGGCCGCTGCGACCCACCTCAGTCATTACAAAGTGTGCCATGGGATCGGGTAAATCCAAAGGGCACAGTATCCGACAGTATCCGGATAATGAAATCTCGTCGCCGATCTCGGCGACGAGATGGAGAAATAGCGCATCGAAACAGGTCGGCAAAGGGCCGCGTCGATTGCGGCGGGATGAACGGGGTTGTTGTCCTTGGCAGCGCCATGGTGGCGCGACAACGTCATATATGCCGTCCACATCTGAACCAAGCAGTCACCGGCACAACCGATCTCCATGTGCAACGAGAATCGCGCGACCACCTGTTCGAATCACATCCACGCAGGCTAGCACAGTTGCCATCGATCATTGCTTGGGTCATGGTCGACGGCGGTTCTGTCGGCACGGCAAATCCCTCCATCAAGGTAGAGGGTTGCTCCTGACTCCTCAAAGCACTATCCCGATGGACGATCGAGCTGTCAACCTCGAACAGGATGAACTACAACGAACTCCGTTCTTGCACTCTCTTGTTCATGCCAAGCTACCACCACCGCAAACTACAGCCGGTTACTTTACAGGAGCGGACGGGTTGACTTGGCCGGCCTCTTGCTCTTCCCACGTCTTGTAATCCGTGTACCCGAGCTCCCCTGGCGTGTAGAACAGGTCTCGCACATACGGCGTCAGTGGATGGCCATGCTCAATGCGGGTCGGCAAGTCCGGGTTCGAAATGAAGTAGCGACCATAAGCGACGGCATCGCCTCCACCGTTGGCAACGACGGCAGCACCTGAGTCGGCCGTGTAGCCGCCGGCGACGATCAGCACACCGTCGTAGGCTGCACGGAACGGCTTCAGGTTGATGACTGCCTCGTCTGGGGCGCTTCCGGCGTCCCAGCCCCCGGCGATGCGAGGCTCCACAAGATGCACGTAGGCCAAGCGGAGGGGGTTGAGTTGCCGAAGCAGTGTGCTCCACGTCGTGACGGGGTCGCTGTCCTTCATTCCTTGGAACGAACCAAATGGACTGAATCGAATGGCCGTCTTGTCGGCGCCGATGGCGTTCGCGACCGCCGTCGCCACCTCCACCGGCAGCCGCACACGGTTCTCTAGCGACCCGCCGTACTGGTCCGTGCGTTGTGTGTTGATTTGATCGTTGATGAACTGGTCCAAGATGTATCCGTTCGCGCCATGGATTTCGACGCCATCAAAGCCGGCTTCGATCGCGAGTTCGGATGCGCGGACGTACTGGGCAATCAAGTCTTGGACTTCGTCTGTGGTGATCATGCGCGTCAGTTGGCGGGGCTTCGGGCCTTCAGGTGTATTCACAGGGTTCCCTTCCATCTGGAATGATGCGGACGACGGAGGAGCACGGCCTTGAGGGTCGAATAGCGAATGCGAGCTGCCACCCACGTGCCACAGTTGCATGAAAATATATCCTTCCTTCGCGTGAACGGCATCGGTGATCGCGCGCCACTTAGAGACATGCAATGGATCGTAGATGGCGGGCGCGCGAATGTTTGGTCGGCCTTCTGGACAGATCGGGGACGCTTCCGAGATGAGCAGGCCTCCCTTGGAGGCACGCTGCCCATAGTACGTCGCCATGATAGCAGACGGAACGTTCTCGACGCCGTCTTCCAAAGCATGTGCGCGGTATCGCCTATTGAGGGATCCACGTCGCATCAGCAATGTCCATCAATTCGTTGGGGAGGATCAACTTACGTGAGCGGCGCCATGACGACGCGGTGGAGAAGAGTCAAGCTCCCCACGCGGAGAGGCTTAAAGAGTGAAGAAGCAGTGGCCATGTTACACGGACGTCGAGGAATTCCAAACTGAATCGATTCCTTCGCCGCTGCCGCGTGATTGCTCCGACGACCATCGACAGCGATGACACGACAGTTTTTCGCCGTGTGATTGGACAAAATGATCCAAAATTTCGATACTTGATTGGATAAAATGAGGTCGAATCGAAATGAAAATCTAGCAGTTTCGATCAGGGTATACAATCTGCAAAATATATCCAAATTAAGACATGTATTTTCCATGGACAAAATATGGTGAATCCATTCATGTCGACTCAATTTAATCATCAAGTAAAAAAATAGATGCTGGAAATTCTCGCATACATCCTGAGCAGATAGGCGCTAACATACATGTCGAACCCTCGGAGCGTGATTACAAACTTGTGGACACATCAGAGCTGTGAAGGAAAAGGCCGCGCGAACCTCGGAGCCGCACGAAAGCACATGCATGCTCAATGAATCGCGCGCCTCATGCATGCAGTCGCGGGTAGCGGTGAGTACAAGCTGCGATGTTAGTGGATGTCGGGACGACAACGCCCTTGACTTGTCCTTCTACATTCGGCAGGTGGCTTGATCTAGTACCAGACTCCAACAGCAAAATCACCTTCAATTTTCTTCGAATTAAGGGCCGACATCGTCCGTCGCAGCCGCGCTGTGCTTTTCCCCGTCGAGCTCTTCCCACGTCTTGTAGTCGGTGTAGCCAACTTCACCTGGTGTGTAAAACGTCGAGCGGTCGTACGGGGAGAAAGGATGGCCGTGTTGAATGCGGCTGGGCAAATCTGGGTTGGAAATGAAGCTGCGCCCGAATGCCACGAGGTCTGCGTCGCCGTTCTTGACAGCCGCCTCCGCGGTGTCGGCGGAATGACCCCCTGCAACAATTAACACACCGTCGTATGCTTCACGAAATGGCTTCAAGTTGAGCTCTTCCGGGTTCGGGACACGATCCCAGCTGCCAGGAAGTCGAGGCTCGACCAAGTGTACGTACGCCAAATGGAGCGGGTTCAACATCTTGAGTAGCGTCGTCCACGTGAGGATCGGGTTGCTGTCCTGCTTGCCTTGAATCGACACAAACGGGCTGAATCGAATCCCGGTGCGACCCGCGCCGATGGCGTCGGCGACGGCCGTCGCGATCTCTACGGGCAATCGCAGTCTGTTTTCGAGCGAACCGCCGTATTGATCTGTGCGTTGGGAGTTGATGTGGTCGCTGATGAATTGATCCAAGATGTATCCGTTCGCGCCGTGGATTTCGACTCCGTCGAACCCAGCTTCGATCGCCAACTTGGCCGCGCGGACGTACTGTTGAATGAGTTCGGGGATCTCGTCCGTTGTTAGGATGCGCGTCTGCGGATCGCGCGGCTTGAGACCATCGCGCGTGTTGAATAGAGACGTCCCAGGCTCCATGTTGAAGACGGCTGATGACGCCGGTGGGCGGCCCTTCGTGTCCAAGCCAGAGTGCGACCACGCACCCACGTGCCACAATTGCAAAAAGATAAACCCACCCTTCGCGTGCACCGCGTCGGTGACAGGCTTCCAGCGGGCAGCATGCAGCGATGTGTAAATGGACGGCGCCAGGATGCTCGGTCGACCTTCCGGAGCGATCGGAGACGCTTCGGAAATGAGCAAGCCGCCGTGCGACGCACGCTGGCCATAGTACTTGGCCATGATGTCGGTAGGGACGCTTTCTTCGTCGCCTTCGACAGCGCTGGCGCGGTAGCGTGTAAGCGGTGCCAGGACCACGCGATGGCTGAGCGTGTAGTCACCAACTTGGAGGGGTTCGAACAGGGATGGGGCGGCCATGATGTAGGTGAATTTGAAAGTGGCCCGACGACAGCACGCCAACAGGACCGACCATGATGTGACAAAATGATTCAAAATTTCGATACTTGATTGGATAAAATGAGGTCGAATTGAAATGAATATCTAGCAGTTTCGATCAGGGTATACAATCTGCAAAATATATCCAAGTTTTACCGGCATTAAGACATGTATTTTCCATGGACAAAATATGGTGAATCAATTCATGTCGACTCAATTTAATCATCAAGTAAAAAATAGATGCTGGAAATTCTCGCATACATCCTGAGCAGATAGGCGCTAACATACATGTCGAACTCTCGGAGTGTGATTACAAACGTGTGGACACATCAGAGCTGTGAAGAAAAAGGCCGCGCGAAACTCGGAGCCGCACGAAAGCACATGCATGCTCAATGAATCGCGCGCCTCATGCATGCAGTCGCGGGTAGCGGTGAGTACAAGCTGCGATGTTAGTGGATGTCGGGACGACAACGCCCTTGACTTGTCGCTCTACATTCGGCAGGTGGCTTGATCTAGTACCAGACTCCAACAGCAAAATCACCTTCAATTTTCTTCGAATTAAGGGCCGACATCGTCCGTCGCAGCCGCGCTGTGCTTTTCCCCGTCGAGCTCTTCCCACGTCTTGTAGTCGGTGTAGCCAACTTCACCTGGCGTGTAAAACGTCGAGCGGTCGTACGGGGAGAAAGGATGGCCGTGTTGAATGCGGCTGGGCAAATCTGGGTTGGAAATGAAGCTGCGCCCGAATGCCACGAGGTCTGCGTCGCCGTTCTTGACAGCCGCGTCCGCGGTGTCGGCGGAATGACCCCCTGCAACAATTAACACACCGTCGTATGCTTCACGAAATGGCTTCAAGTTGAGCTCTTCCGGGTTCGGGACACGATCCCAGCTGCCAGGAAGTCGAGGCTCGACCAAGTGGACGTACGCCAAATGGAGCGGGTTCAGCATCTTGAGTAGCGTCGTCCACGTGAGGATCGGGTTGCTGTCCTGCTTGCCTTGAATCGACACAAACGGGCTGAATCGAATCCCGGTGCGACCCGCGCCGATGGCGTCGGCGACGGCCGTCGCGATCTCTACGGGCAATCGCAGTCTGTTTTCGAGCGAACCGCCGTATTGATCTGTGCGTTGGGAGTTGATGTGGTCGCTGATGAATTGATCCAAGAGGTAACTGTTGGCGCCGTGGATTTCGACTCCGTCGAACCCAGCTTCGATCGCCAACTTGGCCGCGCGGACGTACTGTTGAATGAGTTCGGGGATCTCGTCCGTTGTTAGGATGCGCGTCTGCGGATCGCGCGGCTTGAGACCATCGCGCGTGTTGAATAGAGACGTCCCAGGCTCCATGTTGAAGACGGCTGATGACGCCGGTGGGCGGCCCTTCGTGTCCAAGCCAGAGTGCGACCACGCACCCACGTGCCACAATTGCAAAAAGATAAACCCACCCTTCGCGTGCACCGCGTCGGTGACAGGCTTCCAGCGGGCAGCATGCAGCGATGTGTAAATGGACGGCGCCAGGATGCTCGGTCGACCTTCCGGAGCGATAGGAGACGCTTCGGAAATGAGCAAGCCGCCGTGCGACGCACGCTGGCCATAGTACTTGGCCATGATGTCGGTAGGGACGCTTTCTTCGTCGCCTTCGAGAGCGCTGGCGCGGTAGCGCGTAAGCGGTGCCAGGACCACGCGATGGCTGAGCGTGTAGTCACCAACTTGGAGGGGTTCGAACAGGGATGGGGCGGCCATGATGTAGGTGAATTTGAAAGTGGCCCGACGACAGCACGCCAACAGGACCGACCATGATGTGACGGGCCACGACGTGGGTCGCCGATTGGGTGAATTCCGATCTGATCGAGGTCAAGAGCTCAATACTAAGCACGTTGATTAGGAAAATCGAAATGACTTAATATATAGTTGTGTATATCAATTTTGTTGTAACCGTTATATTCTTGATTAGTAATGAGTATTATTCAAGAAATAGTTTGCAAACCTGTCGATTTGTACATGTAGTATGATCGAGGTCAAGAGCTCAATACTAAGCACGTTGATTAGGAAATTCAAAATGCCTTAATATATAGCTTTGTATATTAATTCTGTGGTAAGCGTTATATGCTTGATTAGGAATGAGTATTATTCAAGACATATTTTGCAAACCTGTCGAATTGTTCATGTAGTAGGTCAGGAGGCTAAAACGGAAGTTCAAAATCGACGTCGAAGTACTCCCTCCCCAATATACTCGTTTCAGTATTGTGTGGAGGGCGTTGTTGCCACAGTCCGAGGTTGGCCCGACACGCCGCCGCCCCCAATGCACCTTCCATGGGTATGTATGTGAAGGAGGAAAATTTGAATTCGGTGGATGCTTGCTTGCCACAGCTCACCAATTGCCTCACATGCCAAAGTTGAGTCCAAGCGCCATGCCAACGGGGGCATTCACAGCGGAAAAGGCCGTGGCGATTCAACACGTACGTGATGATGGCCACGTTTGAGGAAGACGCACCCCACGCGCGCGCGTGAGGTATTTGATGGCCGAAAGCGCGGGCGTTCCAGTGACCACTCCAGCCAACGGTGCTTTGAATTTTTGACCACAGCGACCAAACACGCATAGGATAAGAGTGTCGAGACTGGAAAACCTTTCACACTTTTTACAACTATCGAATGCCAGAGGTTTTCCATGGACGAAAACGATTGGCTCCGATTTGTAGGTTTAATTGCCACCGTTTATTTTTCACTCGATTTTGATTGGGTGGCGGGCTGGCCATTCGCCGCCACGGCTTATTGCACGGATCTCCCGCGACTCCATGGCTCCATCGTCGTCGACGAAGAAGGCGAGGTTTGGAACATCGTGGCCCGCGACGAACCCCACGAGTGCTCCAGCATCATGTCCGCCCAAGACGTACGTGGTCTTGCAATCCACGGCACGCTCATGACGCCTTGTAGGAACGCCAAGTTGCAAAAACTAGTCGCGCCACATGTCGATTCGTTCAACTTCATGCTGTCGGAAGGGCTCGACCATGCCGTGGCGAGCATCTTGCCGCTCACGATTGACGTCGGCCACAGCAACAAGATGACGATTTGGATCGACAGTGTGCAAATTGGGTACCCTACGTCGGATGCGACCCACGGCGGCCACGCGGTTCGTAGTGTCTTCCAATTGCATCTAACTCATGCATGCGTTTGTGCGCAGAAAACGCTGTTGCCCACTGAATGCCGCCAGCGTGGCATTTCGTACACGGCGCCGTTGATTGTGACGCTGGCGCGGTCCTTCGTCGGCGGATCCACGACAGAGCACCTCCAACGCACCGTGGGGCACATCCCAATCATGGTGCGGTCTCAGCGATGCCACTTGGCCAACTTGTCGCCGGCAGAACTCGTCCAAGCTCACGAAGAAGCCAACGAGATGGGTGGTTACTTCATCTGTAACGGGAACGAACGGTGCGTGCGTCTGCTGCAAATGCCCCGCCGCCACCACATCATGGCCGTGCGCCGTGGCGCATTTTCGAAACGCGGCGACTTGTATTCGGAGCTCGGGGTTACCATGCGCTGCGTTCGCCGCGACCAGAGCGCTGTCACGTTGACGCTGCACTACCTCCTGGACGGGAACGCAATGGTTCGACTCGGTGTGCGCAAGCAAGAGTTCATGGTCCCTGCGGGGCTTCTCCTCAAGGCGATGTACCCCTTGACGGATCGCGAAATATACGACCGAGTCGTCCGCGGCGACGTCGACAATACGTACCTCGCTGCTCGCATGGAGCTCATTCTGCGCGAGTCCAAGCGATTTGCAGTGTACTCGCGCGACGAAGCGCTCGCGTATTTGGGCAAGCATTTCCGCCACGTGTTGCCGTATTTGTCGGCCGACATGACGAACGTCCAAGTCGGGAATCGATTTCTCGACGAGTACGTGTTTGTGCACATTCAGCAAGGCGAAAAAGGCCGTGCTCAAAAGGTACCGTGGCAGCGTTCGAGACGAGAGCCACTCATGTCCCAACGAATCGTGGATAGGTCGAGTTGCTGTGCTTGATGCTTCGCAAACTGTACGCGTTTGCAAAAGGCGACGTCCGCGAAGACAACCCGGACTCTCTTATGAACCACGAACTCCTTCTCCCAGGCCACTTGTACCTCATGATCTTGAAGGAGCGGCTCCAGGACATGCTCGCGTCAATCCAAGGCCAGATCGAAGGCGCCAAGACCAAGCCGGCCGTGCTCGACGCAACGTATTTGAAAAAAGTGTGGGAGCGTACGCAAAACATCGGCCACGCGCTCACGTACTTTTTGAACACGGGCAACCTCCGAACCACGAGCGGGCTCGACCTCATGCAGCTCGCGGGGTACACGGTCGTTGCGGAAAAGCTCAACTACTACCGATACTTTTCCCACTTTCGAAGTGTCCATCGCGGCCAGTTTTTCACGACCATGAAAACCACGACCGTCCGCAAGCTGCTCCCAGACTCGTGGGGGTTCATGTGCCCGGTCCACACCCCCGATGGATCGCCGTGCGGGCTCCTCAACCACTTGGCCGTCGAGTGCGAGCTAGTAACGCATCCCCCGTACACGCCCGATACGGTCGCCGAAGAAGAGCTCAAGCTCGCCCGTTTTCTCGCCAACCTCGGGTAACAAACGTCGATTCGGATCGCGCCGCGATGACACCGTCGGTCTTTGTAGGATGATTCCTTCCACGGGCTTTAGCGACGGGTCGTTTGTCGCGCCGCACCACTACCTCCCCGTCCTGTTGAACGGGAAACTGGTCGGGGCAGCCGCGCCAACCGTGTGCGTCGAGCTCGAAGCTGCTCTTCGCTTTACAAAGGCGACTCCCGAGGCACATCTCCGCAAGGAACGCGGAGTCGTCCCGACCCTCGAAGTGTGCTTGATCCTTCCTGTGGTGGGGGGGCCGTTCCCAGGGCTGTACTTGTCTGCGGACGCCGCGCGGTTTACCCGCCCCGTCCAGCAGCTCCACACGTCGTGGACCGAGCACATTGGTCCGATGGAGCAAGTGTTTATGAACATCGGAGTCCTTCCCGCCGACATCCGCGATAGCACGACGCACATGGAGATCAAGCCCACCAACATGCTATCGCTCGTCGCGAGTCTCACGCCGTTCAGCGAGCACAACCAGAGTCCCCGCAACATGTATCAGTGCCAAATGGCCAAGCAAACGATGGGGACACCGGCGCATTCGATCCCGTACCGAACCGACAACAAAATGTACCGCATCCAAACACCGCAAGCGCCGATTGTGCACAACGAACGGCTGCAAGAGTTTCAACTGGACGAGTACCCGCTTGGCACGAACGCGGTCGTGGCGGTCATTTCGTACACGGGCTTTGACATGGAAGACGCCATGATTCTCAACAAGTCGAGCTACGAGCGCGGGTTTGGCCATGCGTCCGTGTACAAGCAGATTCAGGTATGAAATCGCAGGCAGCAGCGGCGGACGGCGCGCTCTTGCGTGGCACGTGGTTGATGGTGGCATCGTTGTCGTAGGTGGACATTGCCCCGAATGAAAAGACCACAACCAAGTCGTATTTTGGCAACGTCCAGCCTCACGGCGCGACGCTGTTTTCGTCCAAGTTGGACGCGGACGGGTTCCCGCACGTGGGCCAGCACGTCGAGTACGGCGACCCCATCGCGTGCCACATCAATGAAACGACGGGCAAAGCCTCGTTTGTCAAGCACAAAGAGACCGAGCCGGCCGTGATTGACCAAATCAACTTGCTCGGGAACGGCGCGGGCGCGATCGCGACCAAAGCCAGCATCAAGCTCCGGTTTGTTCGGAACCCGATCATCGGCGACAAGTTTTCATCGCGCCACGGGCAAAAGGGTGTGCTGTCGATTTTGTGGCCCCAAGCCGACATGCCGTTTGCCGAGTCCGGGATGAGCCCCGACATTATCATCAACCCGCACGCGTTTCCGTCGCGCATGACGATCGGGATGTTGGTGGAATCGATGGCGGCCAAGGCCGGCGCCCTCCGTGGCGAGTACATGGACGCGACGCCGTTCCAGTTTAACGAACAACATCGCGCGATCGACCAATTTGGCAAGTACTTGAAGAAGGCAGGATACAATTACATGGGCAGCGAGCCGCTCTACTCGGGGCTCACGGGCACCGTCATGCACGCTGACATTTACATGGGTGCGTTCGACAACGACGTTGTGATGACGGCGCTGACCGTTGATGTCTAGGGGTGGTGTACTACCAACGCCTGCGGCACATGGTCAGCGACAAGAGCCAAGTCCGCGCGACGGGCCCGATGAACTCGTTGACGCGCCAGCCGCTCAAGGGGCGCAAGAAGAAGGGCGGGATCCGTTTTGGTGAAATGGAGCGCGATTCGCTCTTGGCGCACGGGTGTGCATTCCTCCTCCACGACCGACTCATGAACTGCTCGGACAAACACATTGCGACCGTCTGTACCAAGTGCGGCAGTCTCCTCTCGACATGGACCCAGCGCGCGTCCGTGACCGACGCGGGGCAGTCGGACTTGACTCTCCACAAAGAGCGGCAGCACTGGATGTGCGCTACGTGTCGAACCGGCGACGGATGTGAACCAGTCGCGATGCCGTACGTGTTTCGGTATCTTGCCAACGAACTGGCCGCGATGAACATCAAGATGACTCTGGCGTTGAAGGGATGGTAAAATGACATGAAGTTGATGATGGCGCGGTAATATAGATGAACGAGTTATGCGTTCGAAGTGGCGTCGACATGGCGGCGGTGCGTGCGACGACTGTGTGGAGGGGTGTCGTCTAGCGTTCGAGCAGGCGAAACCCGCGACGTCATGCACTCCTTCCCTATAGAGCCCATTCATCGAGGTCGTGAACTACCGCTGGATGGGGCAAGCCATGCCATGGCTCAATCAATCATGATGATGCGTCACGAAGAAAGGGAAAGGAGGAGGAGCATGGCGCCACAAACGACCATCCCCTCCATGCGCGTACACGACAACAACATCGAGCAGTCCATACATTAGCATTCACCACGGCAGAGAAGACTCGACAAGACAGTGGAGGGGGCGGGTCGCCACCTCGCAGCGCAGCGTTGCCGCTTTCCCACCCTCTCCATGTCTCCTCTCGATCTACCAGCCATCGCCGTCTACTCATGTACTTGCCAAAGGTCGACACCTACGCACCGTAGCGCTCGTCCAAATGCGCTCTCCCTTGTGCTCGTTGCAACTTCCGAGTTGCGACATGGCTTTACTTCTTGACAAACGCCTTGCTCAAGTAGTCCGAGTGCTCTTGGTACGGCGTCGGCGTAAACTTGGTGGGGGTCCAGAGATCCGGCGTCAAGTACGCGTACGTGGCGCGCAAGGCGTAGAACGTCGCCTTGACGAAGTTGCCCAACGTACGGGTGTGGCCGCGCGCCGACGTGTAGCAATCTTCGATACCGGCCATGCCCAACAACTTCTTGGGGGCAGGGGCAGCGCACAAACCGGTACCACGAGGGGCCGGGATGAGGCGCACGCGGACGGAACCGCACTTGCCCGTGACCTTGTTGCACACGGTGTGGGGAAGGCCAGACATCTTACCCCAGTACCCGCGGCGGACAGGGACCAAGTTCATCTTGGCGTTGATGATGGCACCACGAATGGCGGTCGCGACTTCCTTGGCGCACTTCACACCCAAACCGACGTGGCCAGCGTGGTCACCGACCGCCACGAACGCCTTGAAGCGGGTGCGTTGACCGGCCGTGGTTTGCTTTTGCACAGGCATGATCTTCATCACTTCGTCCTTCAAGCGGTCCTTGAGGAAGTAGTCGACGATTTCGGATTCCTTGACCGTCAACGAGTAGAGGAAGATCTGTTCCAGCGACTCGATCTTGCCGTCCTTGACGAGGCGGCCGAGCTTGGTCACGGGGGTCCACCCTTCCTTTTCGCCGTCACGGCCACGGCCTCGACCGCGCCCGCGACCGCGACCACGGTCACCACCACGGCCACGGCCGCGGCCAAATCCACCACGTTCACCTCGAGGAGCAGCGTCAGCCATGTTGATTGCTTGAACTTTGTTGGACGATTCAAGAAGTGACGGCGTGCCGCGATCGCGATCGCCGCGATGGGAACCACCCGTGCAAAGCCACCAATGAAACGCCTCTATTTCCGGATTGGTCGAATTTTAGCGAATCCAATTGAGTCTGAGATACGAGCGAATCCGCGAGCAAGAATACTACAATCCTGCGACAGTGGCGGGCCAATTCGTCGACCGTCGCGCCGGCACGATCTCGACGGCACAGCGCGCGCGCTCTCGCTCTGTTGTACGAACAACACCGAAGATGGGGCATAAGCCCAGCCTGCTGCCTTGCTTGGCGTAGTTTAAATGTAACTTTATACGATTGTGATGTTGGCTTCATGGTCACGTCACGGGGATCATCCAGATCGTGTCGATGGCAAGATTGGTTTTTCATTCTGCTCTGGTATCTTTGGTTCCTGTCGTGGCTGCAGTTGGAAACACAATACGTCGATGGCGATGATGGCTGTCGATGCAACTCAACGTCGCCGTCGCACCGTTCGTGCGCTTTGAAGACAATCTCTCCCGCTCAAGACCCACGAGATTATCGGTACTACAACGCAATGTCTGAAGCGTGTGGCGGATCGGATGATTGTGAACCCCGTGCTTTGCATTCAACTGGCGCGGGCATATCGCAACGAGAAGAAAGCGGCGCGCAAGGTCAAGGCGGTGGCCGAGGTTAGAACCGTCATGGAGAGTGGCAAGAGCATGTCGACGACTCGATTTTGGGCGTCGAGTAGGCCAAGACTCGACCATGGTGACAGAGCTGCCCAGTGCAAAGAGCGGATGGATGAACCCGATCGCGCTCGTTGACAGCTCCTACATCCCGACGCCGCCGAGGTCCAACATGCAAATAGGTTTGTCATGGCAGCGACGCGTGCGTCCCGATGCCATGCTACGAACAGTAAAGGCCAGGGAGATGAAGGAATGATTCCTTCCCTATGTCGTACTGGGTTTGAATGCGCTCAAGATGCTGCAAACGAAGGACCTGGAATCCCTCGACGGTGTAACTCGTCGCCATCGCCAAGTCGATGACGACTGCACCCTCAACACTCACGACGTGGCCGTACGTAGTCGTCGACTTCCCATACTGCCGTGGGCCCAGCAGTTTTATCGTCTGTTTGTACTGGTAATTGCAGTCACTTGTGTGTTTGGGGCGTGTGGGAGATGCTGTCGGCCTTGATTGACTTTGACACGTAAATCAAGATCCTGAACGTTCGCCGCCACGTTTCAAGTGGTTGCCCTGGAGCAAGGAATTCCGCGCTCGTCAATTTCATCGTCGGTCGGGGAAGCGCATGCACGTGCCCCCGTTGGAAAGCGGCCAACTCCTGCCTTCATTTCCACCTCTCCATGGATTCCGTAATGCAACGACAGAGCGGCGCATCCATCCGATCGCAATGACGCCGGGTTCCAAGCGCTCCCGGCACTTTTCATTCCATGGGACACAGAGTTCGACCTCGTATGCGGTTCAATCCTCAGGCCATCAACATCGACCAGGGCAAGGCACGCGTAGGTCGTGTGGCGCCACCTTTACTCGATTCGTTTCAACGTTGGCAATTCTACTTGTTGGCGGTGTTTCGAACGACTTGGTCAAGGATTTGCTGGAACCCAGACGCAGCGCTCGATGTTGGGTACGCTTCGAGGAAACTCACGCCTTCCTCACAAGCTTGCGTGAGTTTTTGATCGAGGGGGAGACGACCGAGAAAAGGCACTTGGAACATGCGCGCCATGGCTTCGCCGCCCCCGGCCGCTGGCGGAAACACTTGCAATTGAACAGCCATCGAGAGCAGCTCTGGCGCTTTCGCCTTGAGCACGTCGAGCACGTGCTGCGTGTGGTCCACAGAAGTCATTGGGTCGACAAAGTTGCAGCGCGACAGGTCTTGCTGTAGCCCGGCCATGTTTTCAACGACGCTACCAGAACGATGAAAGAAAAAACAACCCGATAGGATGGGGCTACCCGATAATTGGCACGCTTGTCTTCTTGCAAAAGTTGAGCTCCTTGCGCACGTCGGCCATCGCAACTTCTTGGGGCGTGGTGACCACGACGGCGCCGTCAATCTGAGCGTCCTTCAAGTACTATACGAACCAACGTAATCTTGAGGATTATGTGCAAAGTGTCGCCAACCTGGACGATGCTGATGTGCTCGTCCGACGTTCCCGGAGGCGTGTCAATGATCAAGTAGTCCAAGTCTCCCCAATGCACATCCGTGAGGAATTGCTTGATGAGGCCGCTCTTCTTTGGCCCGCGCCAAATGATGGCGTCGTCTGCGTTCGGAAGCATAAACCCAATCGACATCACGCCCAAGTTGTCGTCGACATACACGGGAGACCATCCTTCGTTGCTCTGATGCACTTCTTGGCCCTGCAGCCCCAACATGCGCGGAACACTTGGGCCAGTGATGTCGACGTCCAACAACCCCACTTGGAACCCCTTTTGCGCTAGGCCGAACGCCAGTTGACAACTGATTGTCGACTTGCCAACTCCGCCTTTGCCACTAAGCACCAAAATTTTGTGCTTCACGCGACTCAAGTGGTCCTTCACTGTCGCCACGGTCGGGTCGGGCAATTTGGTCGCCCCGCTAGCACACAGCGATTGGTTTGGGCAACCCGCACACCCAGCAGCTTTTCCTGCTTCCTCGCTCTGCGTGCCAACGCACCCTACACGCACATGCACCCTCCATGAGGTCTCAGCGATGGCGTGGCGGCAATCAACGCACCTTGATTCGCATTGGTGGGCTTGTCCATCGTGGCGAATTCGAAATGGTTGCATGGAATGGCCAAAATCCGGATATGGAGGGTCATTATCCGGTTGAGAACTCACAACTTCGATTTGATGGGATGCGGCGGTCGCGCGCGGTCCTGTGCACTGGAGGCGATTGCCCCATGGAAGAGAAGACTGGGGAGGGAGGTGTCCCCATTCCATGTGTCGCTTGGAAGGGCTCAGTCCTGAGCCATTGCATGCCTGTTCCTTCTCGAGCACCATGTAACTTGCACTGGTCCACCCCGTGAAAAAGACAATGGGACGTCCATACTGGCCTCAAGTGTACCGACCTCCACCAGCTTAACATGACGTACGCAAATAGCCCCTGTTGAGAATGTTGGTACACGAGGAGTGCATGTTAGGTCAGCGAGGACCATTCATATCGACACAGAGACCAGAGACGTTAACCACCAATGAATCACTCTTGAACCTACTCCTACTGGCTTTGCAGCCACGCGCTCGACTACCTCGCTCTAACAGGTTATGAGCCCAAG